CCATTTGTCCATAACTGTTCGAAGAATGCCTCGCGCTCTTTCGCAGTCGCATCTGCCGTGTGCTTTTCCAAAAAGGTGTACCTCATACCGCCAAATGTCTGAAGCCGGTTTCGGTAAAATTCAGGATACGTTGGCTTTCGACTTTCTTGCTCTTCAGGCGTCAATTTTCCCTGGCGCATAGGTAGAGCAAGGTTTGGAGTCCTCTGGAACACAAGCAGACTGGCTGCGTCCTTTGCACACTCCTGAGCAATCTGTACTCCTGTGGCCCCCGTCCCTATAATACCCACACGCTTCCCCTTGGTTTGCACTCCCTCATGAGGCCAGCAGGAGGAATGATAGACCTTTCCTTTGAAAGTCTCAATCCCCTTGAAAGGAGGGACATAGCGTTTCGCAGCAAATCCTGTCGCTGGAATAAAGAATTGGCATGTTGTTGTTCGGCCGTCATCGGTTTCGATTTTCCACACCTTCTCCGTCATATCAAACTGGGCCCCTATCACCCTCATGTTGAAGTCAACATCCCTTTTAATATCCCACACCTTATCAACGTGGTCGAAATATTTCAGAATTTCCTCGCCTGCCGGATATTTCTCTGTCCATGTCCAATCTTTCCACACTTCCGACTCCGAGTACTCATATACTGGAACTTCGGAGTCCACTCGGATTCCTGATCGCGTCGGAAGGATTCTACGTCAGCATTTCTCCAAGATGCACGCATGAATATACGGAATGTGCAAGGTAAAGCAAGCCTTCTCTACCTGGATATGCATTCCAATACCAAATTCCTCCGAGAGCGGCTTCGGCTTCATAGACTTTGCAATTCATCCCCATTTTCCGGAGTTGATACAGCATGTACACTCCGGAAAACCCAGCTCCGACAATGAGAACATCGTAATGTGGAATTGGGATTGATCCCATTGTGAAAATGACGAAGTTGGAGTCTTCGGAAAAGCTAACGAGAACGGGATATGTGGAAGATGTGGATAACCAAAGACTAGTTGTTTCCTTATATTCTTGGAAGAGCAGACAGAGGAGGAGGGGTTGTACGGAAGCAAGACAACTTGATACGGCGGCCAATGGGCGAGCTGTATGAACGTCTCCTCCGTAGTCATGTTGCCAATGATATTTGGATCGGTTTGAGTCACCCACCAGTTGGTGGTGATTCACGAGTGCCACTGTTATATTTTTCAAACTTATCGCGGCATCCTAGTCTGGAATACAAGCTTATACAAGCTCAGCTCACGCATACTCGCACAGGTCCGTACAGCCTACTCTAAGCGGAGGACCAAAATTCTTGATCGATGCCGTGACATGGCCTTTGCACAATAAAACGCCTATCGCCCGGGCGGCCTCGACGCATCGATCTCTTGCCTCCGAACATCGATGCTTGGTCAAACTCGGAAGCACACCAGAATTCGCGACACTGTATCGCTCGATATTTCAGATTTCGCATACTCGGCGGTTCTCCGAAATGACGAGAACCGTGTTCACCCACCCAGTGCGAACGTTAAGAAGACAGGGCTTGGGCTCCCATCGTAACACAGGGACAGTTAAAAATTGCATAGATTTATATGTGGCATCCAAGATAGCGTCCTTCGCGTCGAATCCTGTTTCGACAGACCAATCAGGTTATAACAAGGACGGGTTGGGTAAGTACCCAAGCTAGCTAACAAGCAAATCTTAGCTGAAAAGCTGCTCCGAAAACCAGGCTATAACTACCCCACGGGGAAGCTCCTCCACCGATCCATGGAAATCCAACAAACTAGATTTTGTGGCCATATAATATTAACTGCATTGAACTTTCTACGGGTCTACGGAGTAATTCTGTTGAATGTCATTAGATCAAGCTGGTAGGGATTAACTTGTTGGTGAGCCCGAGGCGCTCGCCAGGGAGCAGCCACAAAGTAGTTACGGAGTACAGAGTAGGTACCCAGCGAAATGAGCTCACTGGCCGGCATTGTTGCAGAACACATCGTTGCAAAAACTTTAAATCTATGCATATCACTACGGAGTACTCCGTACACTTGAAACTTTCTAGGAGGATTCATATGCAACTAAAGCTGCTGGTGCTAATGTCAGGTCAGTGTATAAGCCGTCTCGCCCAAAGCTGCAAGCCCTGAGAATAGCGTCTAAGAGAGCATGGCTGTAGTTATGTATGCACTGTACATACACAGCTGCTCTCCCTATGTGGATCTGTATAGTACATTGCGGCAAATGGTGGCTGCAACATGGGATTGCGGGACCTCTCAGCCAGCTACCTCACCTTCCCGAACCTCTGGGGATAAATCGTGTCTTTCAGATCCGTCTCTTTGGATCCGGTGGCAGAACTCGAGGAAATACACGAAGCTGCTTTCTCGGCCACTTTCTCTTCCTCGTAAGTATCCTTATGAACGGAGGGCATTGATCGTCACCTCCATGGTTGTCTATATCAAGTTGCAGAACAACCTGTAAATGCGACAAGTTTAAGAGTTACATAACGCCACTTTTGACTCTTCTCCTTTCTTGGTCAGACAACTGAGTAGAAAACTCAAAACCCCTCCTCCTAACAGATGTTGGCCAAGGCTGTGAGTTGAAGTAATGAAGGCATGAAGGCGACCTGGATGCTGTTTAATACGCGCCACTCGACAGTCATCTCCAATGATAAATATCCACAAGGACACTTTTGTCCAAAAGTTCTAAGGAAATAAGACTTAAGAAGTGCTATCATTGGCTCTACATTATTGAAAATGAACATTTTGAGGAGACAATGAGCCCGTGACTAATATTTTGCGCGGCTGTATTCGAAGAAAGGAAAGTAGGATTGCTGGCTGTTTGTAAGGAGAGACTTGGATTTTCAAAATCAAATCCATCTACCCAACTTGTTCCCGCTCTAAAGCTGAAGACATCTACTGCCAAACAACAAAAAGGGGAAAAGAAATTCTCTGAAATCAAACATAGAATGCAGCTGCGATAGCAAGGGCGACGAAAGAGATACCCCGCGGCTGCAAGATTCCTGCAGCTCCCTCAAACTGAGTTGGCGTATGAACTGGTGTAGAAGCTGGCCGGTCTGTGCTGCCAGAGGAAGCTGCCTTGTCATGGGCTCTGGCATAATGGTAGCCATAATTCTTTGTTTCCTTAGGTGGAGGGGAACCGTCGCAATACCTGAATCAATATTAATCAGGTGACCCTCCCTCCAGAACGCCGAGAAGAACTGGAGGGGTGGTGTCAAGGAGGAGTAAGCTCCTTATTGAAGTCGGAGGACGGAGCGGTGTCAAGAGGATATTCTTCGCTCTGTATTATAGATAAGATGATGAGGAATTGGAGGTAGCATAGCTTCATTTGGATTTGCTTTCCAGGCTGAGACTCTAGCTTGGAGCATAGAGGGTCCCTTTGGCTTTCAATATTCTCAAGTATCTCGAGTTTGAACTTATTCCCGTGAACCTTTTATTCACCAATGAGCATTGGAATGAACATGAATCTGAGGACTGCAATCGCCATGAGGTTTTCGAAATACATCCGGATGTCGAAGGCTTGGGGCACCTGCGTTGGTTGAATTTAGAACGTGGCACTATTGATCATCCGATAGCTCTGCAAAGGGCGTTGCACAATGCAAGTCAAACGTTGCTAGCAGTTCCAGGTGGAATGTTATGATGAGCATTGTATTAAATCAGGAGATATAGCATGATCTCTAGTTAGCTCACCACAAAAGTCAGACGGCGTAACCAAAAGTCACACAACACAAGCTGTAAGGATTTCGGCACGGCTACGGAAGACGGAGAAGCCCACCTTCAGTGGACTCGAGTACCATTTAATTCTATTTGTGTTTGATCGAGACCTAATACAGCCCCTACAACGACCATCAAAGTCGTATAGCTACCAGTGAGGAAGTGGACTCAAATCGACTTCAGCAACATCTCCTGGATAAACTTTAAGCCTAAACTATACAGAATAAGATGGTGGAGAGCTTATACCGAGCTCCCAAATCTGTCCAGATCATGGTTGACCGGTGCCTGGATCTTCCTATAGAATCATCCTTATTCGTTGACCTAGCTGATTCTGGAGTGACCCAGAGGGTCATGACTTGAGCCTAAAATCCGCCGCCTCCACCATTTGTAGAAAAATGTGACGAACTCGTGAGCTCTGTACAGTGACCGGTGACTCTTTCTGGCATGCGGAGAGACGGACGGACGCAGAGAGAAGGGCTGAGTAATAAGCGCCACTGCGCCAGACAGCTCTGGCGGCTCTGAGGTGCAGTGGATGATTATTAATCCGGGACCGGCCGCCCCTCCGCCCCGAAGTGGAAAGGCTGGTGTGCCCCTCGTTGACCAAGAATCTATTGCATCATCGGAGAATATGGAGCTTCATCGAATCACCGGCAGTAAGCGAAGGAGAATGTGAAGCCAGGGGTGTATAGCCGTCGGCGAAATAGCATGCCATTAACCTAGGTACAGAAGTCCAATTGCTTCCGATCTGGTAAAAGATTCACGAGATAGTACCTTCTCCGAAGTAGGTAGAGCGAGTACCCGGCGCGTAAGCTCCCTAATTGGCCCATCCGGCATCTGTAGGGCGTCCAAATATCGTGCCTCTCCTGCTTTGCCCGGTGTATGAAACCGGAAAGGCCGCTCAGGAGCTGGCCAGCGGCGCAGACCGGGAACACAAGCTGGCAGTCGACCCATCCGGTGCTCTGCACTCGACCTGCTGAGGTCCCTCAGTCCCTGGTAGGCAGCTTTGCCCCGTCTGTCCGCCCGGTGTGTCGGCGGGGTTGACAAGGTCGTTGCGTCAGTCCAACATTTGTTGCCATATTTTCCTGCTCTCCCCACCAGCTGCTCTTTTCTTTTCTCTTTCTTTTCCCATCTTCAGTATATTCATCTTCCCATCCAAGAACCTTTATTTCCCCTAAGTAAGTACTTTGCTACATCCATACTCCATCCTTCCCATCCCTTATTCCTTTGAACCTTTCAGTTCGAGCTTTCCCACTTCATCGCAGCTTGACTAACAGCTACCCCGCTTGAGCAGACATCACCATGCCTGAACTCACCGCGACGTCTGTCGAGAAGTTTCTGATCGAAAAGTTCGACAGCGTCTCCGACCTGATGCAGCTCTCGGAGGGCGAAGAATCTCGTGCTTTCAGCTTCGATGTAGGAGGGCGTGGATATGTCCTGCGGGTAAATAGCTGCGCCGATGGTTTCTACAAAGATCGTTATGTTTATCGGCACTTTGCATCGGCCGCGCTCCCGATTCCGGAAGTGCTTGACATTGGGGAATTCAGCGAGAGCCTGACCTATTGCATCTCCCGCCGTGCACAGGGTGTCACGTTGCAAGACCTGCCTGAAACCGAACTGCCCGCTGTTCTGCAGCCGGTCGCGGAGGCCATGGATGCGATCGCTGCGGCCGATCTTAGCCAGACGAGCGGGTTCGGCCCATTCGGACCGCAAGGAATCGGTCAATACACTACATGGCGTGATTTCATATGCGCGATTGCTGATCCCCATGTGTATCACTGGCAAACTGTGATGGACGACACCGTCAGTGCGTCCGTCGCGCAGGCTCTCGATGAGCTGATGCTTTGGGCCGAGGACTGCCCCGAAGTCCGGCACCTCGTGCACGCGGATTTCGGCTCCAACAATGTCCTGACGGACAATGGCCGCATAACAGCGGTCATTGACTGGAGCGAGGCGATGTTCGGGGATTCCCAATACGAGGTCGCCAACATCTTCTTCTGGAGGCCGTGGTTGGCTTGTATGGAGCAGCAGACGCGCTACTTCGAGCGGAGGCATCCGGAGCTTGCAGGATCGCCGCGGCTCCGGGCGTATATGCTCCGCATTGGTCTTGACCAACTCTATCAGAGCTTGGTTGACGGCAATTTCGATGATGCAGCTTGGGCGCAGGGTCGATGCGACGCAATCGTCCGATCCGGAGCCGGGACTGTCGGGCGTACACAAATCGCCCGCAGAAGCGCGGCCGTCTGGACCGATGGCTGTGTAGAAGTACTCGCCGATAGTGGAAACCGACGCCCCAGCACTCGTCCGAGGGCAAAGGAATAGAGTAGATGCCGACCGGGATCCACTTAACGTTACTGAAATCATCAAACAGCTTGACGAATCTGGATATAAGATCGTTGGTGTCGATGTCAGCTCCGGAGTTGAGACAAATGGTGTTCAGGATCTCGATAAGATACGTTCATTTGTCCAAGCAGCAAAGAGTGCCTTCTAGTGATTTAATAGCTCCATGTCAACAAGAATAAAACGCGTTTCGGGTTTACCTCTTCCAGATACAGCTCATCTGCAATGCATTAATGCATTGGACCTCGCAACCCTAGTACGCCCTTCAGGCTCCGGCGAAGCAGAAGAATAGCTTAGCAGAGTCTATTTTCATTTTCGGGAGACGAGATCAAGCAGATCAACGGTCGTCAAGAGACCTACGAGACTGAGGAATCCGCTCTTGGCTCCACGCGACTATATATTTGTCTCTAATTGTACTTTGACATGCTCCTCTTCTTTACTCTGATAGCTTGACTATGAAAATTCCGTCACCAGCCCCTGGGTTCGCAAAGATAATTGCACTGTTTCTTCCTTGAACTCTCAAGCCTACAGGACACACATTCATCGTAGGTATAAACCTCGAAAATCATTCCTACTAAGATGGGTATACAATAGTAACCATGCATGGTTGCCTAGTGAATGCTCCGTAACACCCAATACGCCGGCCGAAACTTTTTTACAACTCTCCTATGAGTCGTTTACCCAGAATGCACAGGTACACTTGTTTAGAGGTAATCCTTCTTTCTAGAGATGTTTCCCGCATCTGTTGCATTGCGGTTTTTTGTTTCTCTTCACACTCTCTTCTCTCAAGACAAGGATGACCTTTTGGCTGGCCTCGGCGTCCGGGCTACTCTGGAACCGTGTATTTCTTGAAATGAGCTCATTACCAATAGAAAACGGCGTAGTTGAACATCCTTAATCCATGATGGCTGTCCCATGGCGTTTTCTCGCATTACCATATTCGATTAGTCCTCGTTTAGCCATCACCAAAGGCCCTTGGTCTTTCCCATGTGCTTTGTGGAAAGCTTAATTCGTCAAAGGGAGGCAAACCAGTTGGCAGTTACTGAACGTCCCTCCCAGAGTTTACTTGCTTGACGCTGTAGATCTGATAGAAACATGCTTCACTTTTGCATCCTGGCAGTCATGACGAGGAACCCCGAGATTGACCTTCGAATGAAGACGGGCTCGTCTTGTGATAGCAGGTAAATGGTACTCAAAGGTCGACTTTCGTGCGATGACAACCTTGAACGGACGAGATTTGAGACTATTTGCATGCCAGCTACCAACTTTTCAAGATCCACGGCCTGAGATTAGGTTGTTAGAATAGAGTATGTCTCGTTGAAACTTGATGCTCATACCTAGAAGCAATAAAAAAAAGTACTTCGAACGAAGCTTAGTCGAAAGTGATAGCAGCCTTGATGGCGGACTTGTTTCTCATCGACTCCAAGCAGTCAGTCCATTGCCCAAGGATCGAAAGCCACATAGCTTACAAATGCATAAGAAAACCAAAAGATTGGTTAACTAACCTTAAGCTTCCCCAGGCACAAGCCTCCAAGACGAGGTGAGCCATCTCGGTTTCCAACGATTTTCTCCCGAGGACTCAGAGCCAGAACTATATTCCTGGCGCCACGCGGAATGCCAAAAAGTGTATCGCCAGCGGTCGACCTCATACACCAACGCGCCTGGTCTTAGAGACTCTTCGATTCTAGCCTGCGGTCTAGCACAGATATTTGAGTCATTGACGCCCTTGTAACCACGCCATTTATGGTCGATATCCTTGCAATATTAATGTCCAGAACACTGTGGCAAATCCACATCGCAGCCACGAGCTCGAGAGACACGTTAACCACACAGTAAAGGGAAATGGGGCGGGGTTCAAAGTCTTACCTGGGAAGAAAAGCATCGAGATGGCAAATACGACCGTTTTGCAAGACCGTTGTCCTTGGAACCTCAATACTTGATAATACCTACGGAGTGATGATGTCTAACGCCCTGGTCGCGTTAGAGTGGTGGCCCCGAGATAGATATAAAATTGCTATTGGATACGATCTCCTCCGTAGACCGAGGACAATTTTTTGTTGGGGCTTGAAGAGTTAACTCTTTGCAGTGTGCGGTCAAGGAGAATATTGTTAGCTTCTCCGAAGAATTTCCAGATAAAGACGGCGAGGCACCCTCTTCTGAGTGCTAGTTGATAGCAATGTACGGATACATAGATCAGGGATTCGAACTCGGCAAATTATCTATCCGAGTGGCTGTGCCTTTAAGCTTATGTGGAACACCAACTCATTCAGTTCCTTGGTCTCTGAAGGCTTCTCTGGGATGTGGCTCAATCTTCTTCATCTGTTGGCAATCCAATATCAGAATGTGTGCATAGGGTGACCTTGCTTGACTAACATGGTGCAATTTTGTGTGTCCTATCTCCAAGCCTTCTAATTCACTTTGATAAATGTTCGCGAAAATACATCCTCATAGTCTGGAGCAAATCAGTGATCTATTCCTCCTTACCACCTAGAACTCAGAGAGGAAAATGCAAATTTATCCTGTATCCAAGCTGATTTGCAAATTGTATAGCGGAAATGAAATGAAGATGCAACACTGCGATAACTCCACAAATGCCATGCAATGCTAGATTCCCAATAACACCATATCAGATGCAAAAGAAGCGCTGACATACGCCTCTATTTTTGAACATTTTACCATTATACCCTGCGCAGATTTGGTGGCCACTGCTTCTTGATAGTCAAGTGATTAGCCTCGAACCGGGCCTGAGCGGACATTCTTGCTCGGCGAGGGCGCTTTCAATGATCACCCCATCATTTTGGCAGGATCCGGGTTTTCCCTTGTAAACTGGTTAATTATAACTATCGGGTTGTGTGGGCCATGGAGACTAACGGGGCCGGTTCCCATAACTTGCTTGTTTCATTAAACTGGTGCCTATTGGTCGTGTTAGCAAGAACCTGGATAGGAGGCAAAAAGGAACTCACTCACTTATTGTAAAAAGTCTTCGTGAGACAGTCCTTTCCGTATTCTCGTTCCAGGAGTGTGGTATAGGCGTATGGAATTTTCGCAGTGACACCCTCGAAGTAACTGTCACGTAACGGGAATATATCCTGCTCCTATTCAAAGGTTGGTCTCTTTAATTTGCCCCAGTTTAACCTGTTATTAGGATCATACATTGTACTTGTGCCGGTCCTTGGTCATAAGGGCACCCTTTTGGCCTTTTTTGCGTGCGTCATAATCCTTCCGTACACAGGTTATATCGATGAACAGCCCGGACGATGTGTCGATCCATCGTGCATCAATCACGTTGAGCGTATCTTCTGGCGATCGGATCACGAAATTTGGGTTGATCTCGAGAAGGAACTTGCGACCGGCTGAGGTACCAGGAACGTTGAAATGATGTTCAGTCATGTTATAGTACTGCGCTAGAAAGTACATCGTCGTTTCGGAAACCTGGACGTCGATATCTGTGTCCCATGGCATGATCTGTATTATGGCGAGAGTCAGCGAGGATAAAGCTATTGGGAGCAAGGCCAGCCGACTTTCTGATTCCACCACCATCCCAGCAGCGTCCCGTGCATTATCCAGGTTTCTGCCCCGATATCACTCATCGTGGAAAGGTAGGATTTTACCATGGCAGTCAAATGTGGAACTCGTAGAGAGTCTTCGAGAGGCTGGGACGCAAATCTATTATCGGGGTCAACACAAAATTCGGACTGTGGCAATTCCCGTTAAACATACCGGCCGTCATAATGATAGTGGAAGCTAGGCAAATGGATCCGGTGTTAGTATACGGAGTGCTCAAGTAAGGTTCAAGAGGGTTGCACAGGCGCTAGGGCTCGCAGGACATACGTTGATTCGTCTGCAAGTGATGTCAGCCACGAGAAGTGACAGCTTGAAAGTGTTGTGCCCGGCGGGCGAAAAAAAAAAAAAGAAAAAAAGAATTAAAGAATTGACAGGTGAAAAGGAAGATCACTTACGAAAGTACTTCTCAGCAGGGTCGCCCTTTTTGCCGCTGTAATCCGTGTTCATCGATGTTCTGACGCTCATGAAATCCGCATCGCAAACGGCTGGCGGAACGATGAGAAGCCATATCGCAAGCAGGAAGGCTGCTATCATCTCCAAGGATACAAAAGAAGACCTTCAACCTGACAATGACAGCACAACGAGACGCATGCTATCAAGGTCAGTTTATATTTTGATCCAACGCCTCGATCGATTCGCCGTCGTGGAACAATCTTGTACGATGGGCGGGGAAATCGAAAGGAAAGAGAGCAAGCGACCAACGTAAGGAAACAGGAACTTGGGAGCAATATGTGCGAGGTGGAAACGGACAGGGGAGGATATATATGTGAATGGAAACACGGAACTTACGGAGCGTCCAGGGGTCTGCTGCAGGCGATACATACTCATGTTATTACAAAAGGCTAAAAGCTTCCAGGAGAGTTCGAGGACAAGAGCAAACTCCATCGCGCCGGGGGGGGCCGCTGGGCCAGCGGCTACAGTAACCTTCACACCCCATCGATTCTCCCTTCAGCCTGCCTTGTTTGAAGGTTGTTTGGTGCTGTTCTGGCGCAACGGTGTGGAGACTTGAGACCGCTAGTCCGCAAGCGGAATGGCGCCTCAACGGGGCCAGCCTTGGCACTTCCGCTTTGGGCTCCACCTCGCGTGCTGTGTGGCTTGTTCAATTGGCGAGCCATCCCAGCACTTGAAAGACCTTCCGGTCTTACCGCCCAGGTCAAATCCTCGTCGACGCGTCACGGTGTCCCGTCGGCCGAGGGCCCAGCAGCACCTACAGAGGCTCGCTGCTCCGGAGAGCTGTTGGCCGCAGCCCTTGTTCAAGCCCCAGCGGCTCTAGCCTGCTCGCCTGGCCTGGCAGGATCTCCGAGCCTGGTTGCTGGAAATCATGGATGTTTCAGCCCTTCAGGTCGTCAGCATGGTTTTTGGGTCCTTGATCACTTTGTTACTGATGCACAGGGAAGCAGCTTGGATGGGTTCTCGAAACCGCCGGCCCGAGATACTCCTCATACTCGTTAGTGACGTGTTTGGATCTCCGGCAAGGACGGGGATGGGGGATTTGATCAACATGCAATCCGTATTTCTGGGGGCTGTTCCGCAGTCCTTCATCATCATGAAGGAACAAAAGTATCTTGACATCCCTGCCGATTGAAATGACAACATACAAACACGCAGCAGGCCAATCTCCTGGCAGCCAGTGCGGGGACCTCAGCGTTTGAAGGCCTCATCCTTACCATGCTCGAGACTCCAGCCTCACTCGAGGCGTCTGTGTGGCATCGTATCCGTGGCTGGTGGGATGGGGCTTTGACTGGTTAGTTATCCGCATCGGTTCCAGCCTTCCGCTCGACGGCGCTTCCGGAAAAAAAAAAAAAAAAAAAAAAAAAGAAGAGTTCTAAAAAGATCTGCTTTAGACGGCAAACGATGTCCCCATTCCGCAGCAGCCCGGACAAGACCACATCTCTCTGTGACTGACACCCAAAGTTGCAAGTTTCTTCCAACATTAGAGATCGAGCACGGAGTCGCTAACAAGCTAGCATCCCAGTGGTCTCCTCCGACAGGAGCAGGATGCCTCACCTGGCTCCGGCGACATAAAACAACATGTTGGACGGTCGGGTTCTCCATAGCGGTGGCGCCGGTGATTGATGTCTCTGTGATGGCCTTCATTCCTTTGTGGTTTGAACGTATTTCAGATGGGTGCTACGCGACGATAGCCGGGCTCAACGGGAGTGCACTGTGTAGATCACCACCCAAGATATCCCCCCTATGTCATAGTGTACCTAATGGTATGGAATCAAAACGTTTTGCAGACAGAACGGACGTCCTGTCAATATAGTATTGCTTCCTGCTTTCCTGAGTCAGTGCCAAGTCGATCCGCCCAAATTGATTGATGCCAAGAGACTCTGCCGAGATCCACGATCTCATATTAATTAAAATTAAAATCCAAAAATAAGTGCTGTAATCGAATACTAGTTGTCCAGTAGATGTGAGATATGCAAGCCAGAGAGAGGCTCGAAGCAGTTTTCGACAAATGCCAAAAGTACGACGCTCGACATGCCGAGTACAGGGTTTCCACTAACTAACCTATTAGTTATATAACTCACTGGCAGTTCTCGGGGGTTAACTAACTAGTTACTGAGTTAATAAGTTAACTAACTAGTTAGTGAGCGTGGCATGAGGGAGACGTGCATAATCTTCAAACTTTCTTCCTCGAGCTTCCTTGACACTTCTCTAAATGGACAGGAGTCCCGTCTATCGATGTCATCATTCAATTCATCCATAACTAATTAGGGTCATTCGACGGATTAAGGCCTGATCGGAGAACTCAACGAAATGGAGTTCAACCTCAACTCCGTCCTTTATAATCCTACTGTTGGTTCCGGACCGCAGCCTACTCCAACGCAGACCTCACCAAACGACTCAGACCCCGCTCATTCCTCTACCACTAACGACGCATCCAAGGATTCTTCGCCTCGGGATGTCGGCAACCTAACTCCCTCAGAACCTCGACAGAATCCTCGAAGTTGTGTGACCTGCCGCCGTCGGAAGATACGATGCAATAAACTTCAGCCTTGCTCGAACTGCACAAAGGCCAAGGTCGAATGTGTCTTTCCCAAGCCTGGCAGGGCTCCGAGAAAGTCGAAGAAGGCGACGGAAGCTGACTTGCTTGCGCGGCTCAAGACTCTCGAGTCTATTGTCAGAAATATTGGGAAATCGACGGCGGAGGAGGCGAGTTCCACTGAAGCGAAGAAAGATGCAAACGTCAACAGTGAATTGGGTGTCGATATTTTTACAAGCCGTTCTCCCAAGGACATAGAGTTAGATTCTGTGGATGAGGAGATGGGAAGGCTTGTCATTAACGATGACAAGAGTCGATACGTCAGTCATCGTTTCTGGACAAGATTCGGAGATGAGGTAGGTTCCCTTATCTTTGGGGCTCATTCTCAAAAGTTCTTCGAATTTTAGGCTAACAATATGAAGATTGAGGAATTGAAGGATATGATCGACTGTCCAACGTCGGAAGAAGAAGATGATCCCTCCTCCGGAGATTCTAAATCTGGGTCGTCACAATGGACTCGTCACGATGGATTTATATTCGGCTTTTGGTCCGTAACACACAGCCTACGCGGCTTCCACTTACCACCAGAAAGGTTCGATATTATGTGGGAGACGTATCTTGAGAATGTGGCCCCAGTCGTGCCCATCTTCCACCGTCCAACCTTGAAGACTATGCTACGAAATGCTGTCTCTAATCTAGACTCGGTAAATAAGAATACCGAAGCACTACTGTTGACAGTATACTATACCACCATAGCAAGTATGACACCCGAACAGTGTCTATCTCAACTTGGCGAGGATCGTGATGCTGCTCTAAACCGGTTTCGATTTGCTGTCGAACAAGCTTTAGCTAGAGCAAATTTGCTAAGCACGCGCAGCTTGGTTCTCCTTCAAAGCCTTGTTCTATTTCTGATTTGCGTGCGTCAAAGTGGTGATCCTCGCTACATTCTATCGTTGGCGTCACTCGCTATTCAGATAGGTCGGGCAATCGGTCTCCATCGTGATGGAACTGCGTTTGGTTTGACTCCCTTTGAGACCGAAATACGCCGTCGACTGTGGCTGCAAATCTGTCTAGCTGACTTTTGTTCTGCGGAAGATCATGGATGTGATCCTGTGATACATGAAGCCTCGTATGACACTCTTCCACCGCTAAATATCAACGACGAAGACATCTCTCCGGATTCGAAAGAATTCCCGAAAGAGAGAGTTGGATGTACAGACATGACCTTTCTTTTGTTCCGTGGGGATATAAATATGCTTGCAAGGAGGCTTACCCACGTACCCCCCAGCAATACTTGCAAAAAATTCATTGCGTCGTTTTCTCAGAAAGAGCGCGAGGAAATGGTGGAAAATCTCAGCAAACGCCTTGAAGAAAAATATGTACGGCATTGTGACGTCAGCATTCCCATTCAATGGGTCTGTGGAGCACTGTCGCGCCTGGTTGTGGCAAGTTTGCTGCTTATGATTCACCATCCGATGACAAGGGACGATGCTGAGGGTTCTGTTCCTGCAGTAGAAACAGAAAATCGGTTATTTCTATCCGCGATCGAAATTATTGAGTTTTCACTTCTCCTGGAGACAAATTCTAATACATCCAAGTGGAGCTGGTTCTTCCGCGCACATACGCAGTGGCACGCCATTGCGTACGTCCTGTCTAATCTATGCGTACGACGGGCGTGTCCCGTCGTCGAACGGGCCTGGCGAGCCGTCAACGCAGCTTATAAGATGTCGGAAATGAAAGGCCAGCAAAAGGGCATGCTTTGGCCTGGGATTCGCAAGCTCATGGCTCGCGCTCTGCGCTATCGAGAAATGCAGCTGCAGCAACTCACAGCACAGTATGGGACCGGCGAGCCTTGCTGTAACGGTTTACAGCCGCCCAATGATAGTGTGGTGTCGCAGACCCTGACACCAGGCACGTATATGTCACAGCAACCACACCCTCCAAGCACGAGCGCTGCTCTCCCAATGGAGACCGAGCCAAGTTCCAACATGAATGCCGAAAGCTATGTTATTGGCTCTATAGACGCATCGGGATTATCCTGGCCGTCCTTACCTCAGGATAACCTGTATGGCGCAGATATTTCCAGCATCAACCATTCCATCGCCTCTCCGCCGCCATCTTGGGATGAATGGAATCGAGTTGTGCGCGAATTCCAACTTGACATCAGGAACGATGACCTGGCAACGCTGGGCCAAGTTCCGATTTGGTTTGAATGATTTTAGCCCATTTTATGACTCTCAATTTGATGACTGTACGGAGTATTTTTATTTATTTATTTTTTTATTATTTTATTTTATTGTGAAGCCTATTAGTTTAGAGCTGTATTTGTCCAATGGAGGAGCTCTCTGCGATGTTTCGGGACTTTGCTTTTTCTTTTCTTTTCTTTTCTCTTCTCTTTTTTTTTTTTTTTTTTTTTTTTAAATGATGTTGGCATGGTTCACAAGAAATACGTAACCACCTTACTCCAGTTATCGAATGTTGATCTTAATTCTGACAGGACATGCTTGATTGCATTTTGTTGCAAAATTTTCGTGATCTCAAGATTCTCAGGACGTTCCCCGAAAATTGCGTTGAATCGGTCTTCGCCTCCCAAGTGCTGTGTCGATCGGGTCAGGGCTGAGGGCCTGGATGCCGTCATCTCCTGGGAGCGGCACCTACATAATCGGCATCTAGATCCGTTTCGCGTGCTAACGTTGGAATTCCGAGAAGACCGTTCGGGTGCGATGCAGGCCAGTTCGAGACTGAGCAATCACAATCTGCGCTTGGACAAGCTCTGTTCTCACGTTGTGTCACATCCTCGCCGGCCCGGTCGGAGGCGGCGGCGAATGAGCTGCGGCTCTACAGGAGGCCGCCAGACGGGGTTGGGTGGCTCCTTCTCACGGCTGGGCGATGGATTGATGCCACCGGTTGCCTTCTTCATTGAGCACTTGCAGTGTATAACTGGATCTCCTGCGCTCTTTCCCCGCCTGCTGGTTTGGTTTCCGCGGCGCAAAACAAAACAAGAAGAAAAAAAAGAAAACAAAAGGGAGGGAAGGCCCCACCAGCCCGGAAGTCCCCATTTTTCAAGGTTTTTTCCCCCCCGCTAATCACAAATTTAGTCAGCAGGGCGCGGCCGTCTCGATCCTCGCGGCTTCCTACATAGTTTCGAGTTGTTTCTTTCCTTTTTCTTTTTTCTTCCCCCGCCGTTTCTCTCTTCCCTGCCATTAATTTCCCTCGCTCTGGAAGGCGTCGAGTGTTTTGTGTGTTTGTTTGTTTGTTTGTCCATCGCCACCTTAGCAGCGAGACCTGTTGCGCGCTCTGCTTCAAATGGTTCACGTCGTCCAGCAGCCGTCTACACTCTTGCTTCGGCATAATCAGAATAACCGACAACCGAGTACAGCTGTGATATCGCAGCTCTGCTCAACACTGACCCTACCACGATGAAGCGAGGCACGCCAAAGCTGCCGGTCCAGCAGTTTGTGATATTGTGTTAGTACTCTTTGGGCCTACCTGCGTATATATCTTATTCCACGATACCCGCGAAAGCTGCAAAAGATTAGTATTGCGCCCTTGGCTAACTTCTTCCACTTGGTTACAGCAATATGCCGCTTCGCTGAGCCTGGTACTTTTTCCACAATATCCTTCCTCTTTTTTTTCCCTTTCTATGCTATCCCTTATCGTGATCGTGTAAAGAATGCTGAGAATTCTCGTGGTCTTCAGTCATCTTCACATCTGTCTTTCCATATCTTGTAGGCATTATTCCCGCCCCTCTTTCGGTTTCTGTATCTACAGAATTTCCCATACATATCAAGTATTAGCAAGTTCCTAACCTCATATTCTTGCATCTTCTAGCCTGAAATGATTCGCAGCCTTGGCGTTCCCAAGAAAGAAGTTTCGAAATGGGTGGGATTTACATCCGCCATATTCTCGATATGCCAATGCCTCACAGCAGTCTCATGGGGCAACTTATCAGATCGAATCGGCCGCAAACCAATCATCCTCATAGGACTTTTCGTTACAATGACATTTAGCATCATCTTCGGTCTCTCAAAATCGTTGCCGATGGCCATATTGGCGCGTGCTTGTATAGGTCTCGGAAACGGGAACGTTGGTATTATCAGAACCGTTGTTGCGGAACTGGTTCCCGAGAAGGAACTCCAACCACGAGCATTTAGCCTGATGCCTCTCGTCTGGACCATCGGCAGTATTTTCGGGCCTGCATTTGGCGGAGCTCTGGCGGATCCGGCAAAAAGGCATCCTGAGGTTTTTGGCCACATTGAATTCTTCAAAAAATATCCTTTTGCTTTGCCAAACATCGCTGCTTCAGTCTTCTTTATCATTGGTATCGTGACTGGCTTTCTGTTTCTGCGGGCAAGTTTTTATTTTTCCCTCGTCAATCAGCACGGATTCTTACCACAGCTTACAGGAAACGTTGGAGTCCAGGAAATATAAACGTGATTATGGTCTTATGTTCGGTGACATGCTGATAGGAGCCTGCTGCGGACGACGAACGAAACCAAAGACAGCTTCGCCAGTTGATGACGAAAGAACACCGCTTCTAAATGGAGACAGAACCTCTCGTTCCGAAATACCACACCAGAAAAAAAGTGAAGGGAAACCTGCAAAGCTGACATGGGCTGAAATTCTCTCACCTCAATCTCAACTCATCCTTCTAGAGTATGCTGCGCTAGGATTACACTCCCTAGCGTTTGATTCAGTGTTCCCCGTCTTTTTGAATTATCCCGTGGAAGAATCCGGTGGGCACATAGGCATGAAGCTACCATTCAAGTTTGCCCGTGGATTTGGGATAGGTCCGTGCTCTTAATTTTAATTTTCGTGGCTTAGTGATTAAGATAATGCCTACGGAGTATTTGGTACAGATCGCTAACACCTCTTATTTCTGCATCAATAGACTCCCAAGCCATCGGAATTCTATACACTCTAAACGGAATTATTGGCATGATTGTTCAGTTCTTCATCTTTCCCTATACGGCGAATCGTTATGGAGTCCTTTACTGTCTCAAAATAACCTCCCTCGGATTCCCTCTTGTTTACGCCCTCATCCCCTTCACGGCATTATTTCCGACGGACGCTACTCGCCAAATTGCTGCTTTCATACTTTTATGTGCAAAACTCGGCTGTGTAGTTTTCGCTTTCCCATGCTGCACTATCCTTCTTACCAACTCCGCTCCTAGCGTCCAGGTTCTGGGTACATTGAATGGAGTGGCAACGAGTGTTGCCGCGATTGGAAGAGCCGTTGGCCCCGCGTTTATCGGTGCCGTCTTCTCTATCGGTGTGAAAATGGGGTACATGATTTTCCCGTGGTGGACACTGGCAATTATAGGACTGCTGAGTGCTGTGCCTGTCTTCTGGGTCATAGAAACTGACGGTTTTGCGGGCGCTTCTCTGGATGACGATGATGGTAGTGACGATAGTGAGAGTGAACAGCCATATGAGGAGGCCCCGACAAGCTATATTTCCGGGGGAAATGAGGGCCTTATTGTGGAGCGAGTGAACAGCAAAGCAACTGATGCAGAGACGTTACGGATTTGTGAAAATGCAGCGAATGATTCGGAGTCAGACCATGATGATACTGAAAACACCAGAATTAAGGATTACTCGTCGATTGACGATCCACGACGGGGATTACGACCCAATAACTAGCGCGTCTAATTATCATAATTCGTGTTCGATGACTGACTTCCTGTTGAAAAAGAAAGCAAAATACCCCCCCACATAGCAATTCAACTAAATCCGCGCGGTTACTGGGGGTACCTTCGCAGATCAACGACAGCACAAATGCAAAACGATACGAGATTTTAAACTGACGAAGCCTTATCCTTCGAAAAAGTAGCAGAGTGCAAATGATTTTATGAATGGGTCAGTAAGTGGCCATCCCAGACCAATTTTTGCTACCCGTTAATGTGTATTTCCTGCCACAATGCCTAGTGGAATGTGCATTTTCACCTAGTATTTTAGTTATTTCGGAATTTGGTTACACGTACCCATGTATCATGATTAGATGTTTATGATCAAGCAATTGAATAGATCAAAATAACGCGTTAGATTCATGCCTCATAGGCATCGTTGTGTTTACTTGGTATCTGAAGAATAAACCCGAAAATTATAGCTAATATGCAGTCTATGCCCGACTGCATGCATATATTTCTATCGTAGCCTGGCTGTAGAACAATTCGAGTAGATAGGTGGTGATGAACTGATCACACTCAAGGAACATGTTCAACACTTCCTCATCACCCAGTATATATTTTCAAAAAAAAAAAAAAAAAAAAAGAAAGAAAGAAAAAAAAGGCTCTCTGTTGTTATCATTTCAACAAGTCTGTCGCATCATCGATCTTCTCCTTAATGATATCTCGCCATTTCTGTAGCATAAGAAGATCCATGAGTTAGCAACGATTCGTCCCAGACTAACCAAGTATCAAGCCCAAAAAAAAAATAAAGAAGGAAAGGGAAAGAGAGAAGGTGGAGGGAAGGCAAACCTCTGCATTATTCACATCTCCGTCCTCGAAACTCTCCACTAGACCCGGAAACGTCGCTCCAGAGTATCCAGTCCACCGGCCAGGAGCAAATATGACGTGCTTAAACCAGTTCCTGCCATCCAGGCCACTAGAGTACAAGAATTTCCGCTCAATTAATTTATACTTGTCGTTGGCCGCGCGGATTTTGAAGTACAGGACGATTTTCTTCCAGTACTGCCACCATGGAAAGTCATCCTTCAGATGGGCGGTCAGCGAGGAAGTATAGGCATCAAATTCGGTTGCGGCATCGTGGAAGCTGGCCATAGCTTCTTCAAGGGGTTGGAAGTTGAATGGTGGGACCGCAGACTTCGCAGCTACTCGCTTGACGGAATCGAGGTAGTGGTGTAACGAAACAGCGTAATCGGTGGCATTGAGGGCAACGACGGGGCTTTCAGAAAGATAGGCGGCCATCAGAGCCCATACTTTGGTCATGGCAACGTGGTAATGCCAACCTGGGTCTCCAAAGCGTTCCATCCAGTCGAAACTATCGTAGTTGGAGTGATAGTGATAAACGGGGTCATTTTTACCCCCCGCAAATGACATGTCAATGCTGGCAACGCCGGCAAAATCTTGGAATGCAGTAAAGTCGCTACCGCTACCCATGGGATCCACGTCCTTGTCCCAAACGTCCCGAATCGTTTGCCCTTTGACAGTTTGATTTGGGGATAAAACGAGGCCTGTGGCTTCAAACAGTGCTTTGTGCAAAAGTGGGCTAGCGGCGGCTTTGAAATTGGGACCCGTGGTTGCAACATCCAGGTTCAGGTATACGACGTTCGCTTTAGAGAGCCAGGACAGATTCTCTTCTACCCATTCCGTGGAGCCAATGAGCCCATACTCTTCACCGTCCCAGCTAGCAAAAACAATTGTTCGTAAAGGTTTCCAGCCGGCTTTTAGAGCTTCTCCTAAACTGCGGATGACTTCATTGAGAGCAGCGGACCCGCTGTTTGGATCCCCTGCACCACCTGCAATCCATGCATCGCGGTGATTGCCCATGATGATAACTTCATCCGGGATGGTGCCAGGGATAGTACCAATAACATTCCACAGAGGCGTTGTCACATAATCCTGTTCATTATAAAGATTAAGAACAAGATTCTCTGGAGATGGACCGATATTGTATTTTACCCCTTTATGCGAAAGGCCACCTCCTTGCCAGCGTTCATTAAAGTCTTTGGCAGCCGGTCCATGTCCATTGAGGGCCTTTAGCAGGGGTATAGCTTCTTCATACGAGAGTGGCAGTGATGGAATCGAGGGGATATAATCATATGGATCCACGCGATGACAGCCTGGTTTGGAAGGGTAACCTGGAGTGGTAGGGTCGCCGGGGAGTTGACCTAGGAAGGTATGTCAGCCCAGTTAACGGAAGATCTATGGCAATGGAAATGCCATACTTAAGAAATTGACACTGCCTCTTTGCACGGCACTTGGATTTCGAGCAGGACCATCGGGATAGGCTTTGTATCCATTTTCCTCTGTGATTTCTCCGTCTTCTTGAGGATCAGAGTAAATAACCACGCCAACCATACCCAACTCCTGGGCACGCTTGACCTTGAGGCCCCGAAAACCGCCTCCATATTTTGCCAATGCGATTTTGCCTTCAAGACTGACATTCGCCTTGACGAGGTCCTCGAAATCCCAGAATGTACCATAGTTGACATATACATACTGGGCCGTGACATTTCCGCTAGCAGAGTAGCCGTGAAAGGTAGGAATGCGGTTATTCAGGCCACTAGTAGAGTCGTCATCCAAAACATCTTCCTCCAGTGACGCTTCAAACTTAACCTTGGAGTGTTCTCCCTCTTTCTCGATCAAGGCCAGTCTATGGTCAACGGGATAATTGATATAGACATCGTACGAAACAAGGCTTGTCTTTGGAAGCCCAAATCCATCCCACTGCTCTTTCGTCCACAGGGCTTGGCTGAAATTCTTCCCGGCCAAGTGCGGCCCGGAGGTATAATATTGGCTCCATTCTCTAATCTTCTTCTCGGTGGGAACCGTTTGCAGTATCTCCTGCAGCGCTTTGTATGAAATCCCCTCGCTTTGTGGCCAGTCTTTATGCGGGAGTGGATGAGCCCCGGGTACATAATCCCAAAGCGAGCCGTGTTCACGTGGGAGAAGGGCGAATGGGAGAAGGAACAAGATGACCCCGACGACGAGGATCGAACCAAGGCAACAGGTACATGTCCGACGAAGGCGTGAATGGGGATATCGTGGAGGTGGCCGGGACACCCGAACGATCAGGAGCGGGGTTCTCTCGGAGAGTGGCATTGTGCCGTCTGCTTTCTCCTCCATCTCACCGATTAAACCAGGCTTGAAGGAGCCATGGGCGTTTTTGAGAGTATCTTAACGTCAGCATGCAAACGGGTCTGGTTAACTTAGTCATCCCCAGAATACGAGCGGAGAGTTGACTTTTGCGGCGCTTCGGTGGTTCTCCACAAGCTTAACACGAAATTCCGGCCAGGTCACGGAGTATGTACCTCCAGACACGGAATTCTATCACCACAGGCGACAATTATCATTCCAAAATTCGCTTGGGCTTTCTCCTTCATCAACTGGTTGGCCATCAAGACATGTTTAGCGCATGCTTAGGTTGGGAGTGAAATATCAACGCGACTTGGAAGCTTTAATGGCTTTGTTCACGAAGTCAAACGATGTCCGGTACTCCATACCTACACCTCGCAATGATTGCAAATGAGTTACTACAATTTGAACAAGAGTTACCATAGGGCCTTAGTTGAGAGCCTTAATGGTCGCTTGGCTTCATAAATTCCTTCCAGTGCCAAACTTCTTCAGGATCTCAGCCCCCGTCTAGCCAAAAATTCTTAAGAAAATGTGCTACCTGATGAAGCACCAAGGCTTACTGGGAGAAAGTATTCCGTAGTGATTTGGGGATCGAACCCTCTCCCAGTACGAACTCCGGAGTACGGAGTCCAGAGTAAACATCAACTTTGATCAGCACTGAAAAACATGACAAGAGTTCATTCCAAGTTAAAATATCCCTCGTTGAACTGAACCTCTGTTCCTCATATATACGCAGTACATCGGCTTGGAGCAATCATATTCACCAAAATAAACACAGCCACGCTGAAAATAGCAGGGTCTAGATATAAATTGAAATTGGAGAAGAACTGACCATGGCTTCTCTCCTTTTCTGCAATCGAATATCCCCCTTTCTACGTCGAGAACCAGGAAACTTACATGAGGTATACATTAAAGTCTACCACGCTCATCTTTGTCAGTATAGGCTTGCTTTGATTGCTTTCTAGTCAATCCGCCGAGTCAGCGAGCCCTTTTTTTTTTCGACTGCAAATGCCATGGCGACAAAACAAACAAAACCGGACTGCACATGTACCCACAAAAAAAAGAGCAATGATTACGCCTCCTTGGTAGACGGCCGATAATCGGCATCCCCGCTAGGTGCCGCGGTTGCCGTTAAATTTTTGCTGAAGTCGAATACAGTAACCAAGTGGTTTTTGTGTGAAGAGAAAAAGCGTCAGAAGTGAGTGGCAGAGAAATCTGGTCGGGTATGCACCTGCGCACCACAAATTTGCTGATCAATCTTGGTTTTTAGAAAAAGAGAATGTAGAATTTTAAGTCGAAGGACTTAGCTGGCACGCTGTGATTAATCTTCCCCCGAAAACTTTCTCCTATGTAGGTCGATATGGACGAGGAACTGTCGGAGGAAATGGACTTAGGCGGCTCGGAGTACCGTTAATGTGACTCATTTCCCCTATTCCGGAGGGTTTACAATTTCATCCGAGGCGTCAACGGGTCTCGCGACTGCGCCAGTAGTTGCATCTCGAAGCACTGTCTCTTCTTTGCGTTCAGGAACATATGCGTACCTAGGCAATCTCGCCATCTTTTCCTCCGGGCTGATTCCACTATCAGAATAAACCAATCTCACAGACTTTGCTTTTTCCTTCTTCGCAGGCTTTCCTTCAGCCGCTTCTTCCGGCGCGGCAGTAGGGGTAGATCTCTGGGCCAACTCCTCAGCCCGCTTAGACTCTTCAGATATTAAGCGATCGACTACCGCTGCTGTTTCAGTGCCAGGCTCGGCGCCAGGGATATGAGGCGCGGGCGGCTGAACAGGCATTTGTCCATGGTGCATTTGCTGCATCTGCCATGAGTTAACTTGTGGTGCAGAAAAGCTAGGCCTCTGGGGGAGGCCAGGAGCTGCCGGTAGGCTTGGTGGTCGAGGGGGTATTGACGCTGCCTGTTGTGGCGGAGTGTGGGTCCTCATGTGTGCCGGCTGCTGCTGGAACGGCACAGGGGGAGTGGTAGAGACGACAGGGCTTTGTCCAGCCACTGCGGGTTGATATTGTGAGGGTGACATAGCGGAGGGTGAATATTGGCCAGTATATTGCTGTCCAACAACTGGGGGTTGCTGATACCCAGGTGAAGGGAATTCCGGTGGTTTCTGGAACGTCTGGGACGGTTGTTGATAAGCCGTAGCTTGGGCGGGTTGGCCACATTGCTGTGGGTAAGGGTACTGTTGAACAGAGCCATTCGGTGGATACTGCGGGGTTGCCTGTCAAGATAAGGCAAGAAAAAAGAAAAAAAAGACGTGAGAAATCGAACTTTATGAGGCAATAGAAGGGGGAAAAAAAAGACATTCAATCGTAGACTTACAAATGAACTTCCAGTCTGCAATCCCTGATCGGTACTTACAGGCGTGGCACCTCCACTACTTGTGCCTGCAGCTTTCTCTGCCAGCTTCGCTTTATGCTCCGCCAGTCGCTTCTTCAATTCCGCCGCGCTTTCTAGTTTGGGTCTCTTGGACTGGGTGCCAGTCGAGGTTCCCGGTGCGGGATTCCCAGTCGCAGCACGCCGTTCCGCCTCAGCCTGATGGTACTGGGTTATAACGCGTTGGTTGTGAGCCTGTAAAACATCTTCCGGGACACCCTCCATCCCGAAAATCTCAATATCCAAACTCGAGCGGTTGGGAAGCGCATTGTCAACTGCGGATAGTTGCTCCTTGTGAACTTGACTCATATGCACGGATAAACCTGTTGAAAGATGGAGAGGGATCGATTAGAATACATTTCGTCTCTCTCTTTTTTTTTTTTCCTTTTTTTTTTTTTGGCGCGACTGGATAGCCTCTCTCGGCACGTATACGATGGGTTGGGAATATAAGAGAGAAAAGGATACTCACCTCCGGCGGTGTTCAGTCTCCTCCCGCATCTATCGCATTTGAAATGTTTTGCTTTCTGATGAGAAATGAGGATTTTGAGATCATCAAAGTCGCGTTCGCAATAGTAACACCAAGGGCGAGCGAGGAGTTCCTCGAGATCTGGGTGACCGCGCTTCTTCTTTCCCATGATGAGAGGGGCTTTTCCAAATAACACAGCAAGCAGGTATGATAGAAATTAGAGCAGCAGCTTTGGTCAGTGGCTGTCTATATTGTGTTCAGTGCGTTGTCCGTGATGAGCGTTGGCCAGGCAGGCGACGGGGCAAGTTTGATAAGGGTCGCTCACGTGATTCTGAGGCTCGCCTCAAGATCTCCTCGCAGCAGAAAGAAAAAGAGTCAGAAGAGCCAACTGGGTAGTTAAATTGTGAGCAGAAATCTCACGTCATCCAACAGCAAAACAAAGAAGAAAGAAAAATGTCATTGAATATTGTACACACATATCTCAGATAATCGGATGCATCTATCTTGACTCGAAATCGCCTTTCTCCAAACGTAATTATCAGTACACGGGCCCCCATCCCTCCCCCACAAAAAAGTCTCATCTTCCCGCATGCATCCTACCTAGCCGTAATGGAACAAACAGCATATACAGTGCAATATAAATATCCCCATGCACCCGCTAAAGCAGAATAGCCAGCAATAAAGAAGAAGCCTGTAACTTGACCGGTAAACACCCATTCCATCTCTTGAGCCCAAACACCGGTGTAGACCCGTTGCATCGAAAGAGACGTCAAGGGCAAGGGAAAAAGAAAAAGAAAAAGAAAGGATATGAAGTAAAAGAGGTACAACGAAGTAAGAACTATTGTCCATTATGCATAGGTGTCGAGAACGGGGAATCGTCAACCCTCTTGACCTCTGGCAATCCCGATGGCGGTGCCATAACACCCATAGGCTGCATGGCGGGAATTGGAGCCGGAGAACGACTCTCTGAGGCTGCTTTCAATTTTGCAGCTGGTCGTCTGGTCTTCTTTGGAATCGGCGTCGATGCTCCTGTGGTAGCTTCCTCGCCTTCTGTCTCTGTCTTCCGTTTCCTTCCCGATGGAGCTCGCTGCGCAGCTTCAGCCGCAGCCGCTGCCTTATCAGCTTCGATCTGGGCCTTTGTCCTCTTCGGGTTTCGGGTTCGGCCTTCAGAGTTGAATTTGGCCCAGTGACGAATCATTGCTTCCGTTCTCTTTGGGTGCTTTGACATTTTGATTTTCTCCTGGTTCTTTGGGTCGAGGAGAGGATCATCGTATACCGTCGCAGGCGCTGGCGTTGACCTAGAGGTAGGGGTTGTCGCAGTTGTCCCAATGGCGGTTGGCGGAGCACTGGTAGGTGCAGCTCTGGCACGATTAGGTCCAAGAGCAGATGGCTTCGCCACCTGAGAGCGCGTTGTCTTCCCTCCGGATTGACCCTGCGTGCCCGATGTTCTTGTGCGGGCGCTGGATCGAGTCTTCCGTCTTGACCGGACGGTGTATGAAGATGGTGTTGCTGCTGCTTCGGGTGACTGCGTGCGGGTGGAAGGAGTTGGGCTGGATCTCTCAGTTAAAGCCTGAGAGGGCTCGCGTGTAGCAGGATGTCTAGAGCCGCCATACCGCGTAACCCTTTTCTGGCCGTTTCGTCCATTTTCTGTCTTGCCATTACTGTTGTTCTTGCGCTTGGGTTCCGGCGGAGGGAGTGGCCGTATTCTTGGCACGTATTCCACGCCATCCTTTACAACCATCTCCCAGCCATCAACGTTATACGGATCGGTAGCTGCGGCTGCCATCCTTTTCATCTGATCTGCGGTGGGTTTAAACCCACCTTGAAGAAAAGGGTTTTGAAGGCCAACTTTGCTCGGCCGAGAGTCATGCTTGTACCCGTATAACTTGGCCTCTTTCTTGTCCTCAAAGACCTCAAACTCTTCGGTCTTTCTCGGATCAGCTGTCTTCTTGAGTACCCGCCTGGTAGCCCATTTGGATAACTCGTCAACGGCCAGGTACTCGTCTTGCCAAACTTCGAGGGCTTTCGCGGCATTGGCGGTGATGGCATATAGTTCCTCAGTAGAATGCGAGTTGGGGTCTTTCAGGAGATCGACGTATATATCAGGATCTGTGATGGGTAAGAAATTGCCCGGAGCGGCTTGCTCGGTTTCATAAGGTTTGGGTCTATCGAAGCCGTCGAAAGATTTCTTCCACATCGACTCGAGGTCATCTTTCTCTCCATGATAGTCCTTGGTAAAGCTTCGCACGTCGTGGATCTTCCAGCCAAAGAGCATGCGTTCATCAACGCCCATAGCACCTTGGGAGTTACTGAGCTGCCTTGGTTGCCGTGTTTGATCAGACTCCTGGAGCATATTTTCGGCCACAGAAGTGTCTTCGCTGGCGATATGTTCAGAGTGACTTGTAACATCTGGATGGGCACTCTGCATGTGCAACTTAAGTGCCTTAGCGGGATCGTCTGGATTAGCTCTGAACTCCTCGGGGCACCACAGGCACTTTACTGTTGGGTGCGTATCAACAGTACTAAATTGCGTGGAAGAAGACGGAGGTCGAGAGGACTCATCGTAGTCCAGCTGTCGCCCGTGGAAGATGGGCGACGTCGGGATATCAACGCTGCTGGCACCCGCTTCACCGTCTTCCTGCCCCTGATGCGACATGGTGAGAGCTTATATCATCAATGTTGTCTGGGGGAGAAGTTAGCAGTCAATCTTTGCATGAGCCTGCGCCAAGGCGACTCAGTTCCGTTAGAAAGTAGGTGGGCACACCGGGGAAGCAATCTATATGAAAGACAAACAACAAAGAGTGGGAATGATACAAGAGAAATCATCAAGCACCATGGCAAGGTCAGTATTTTGGTTGCTTGTTCCATCAACAGAAGCCCGTTTACCCCAGGGTCGAGGAAGTAAAATTTGGCCAAGAGCGTAAGACCCAATGTGAAGCGAGAAAAAGCATAAGAAACGGAGTTTTACGACCAGAACAAAGAGATTCAAAGAGGATAGAGGGTTGTATAATTTGTCAGGCAATAAGAAGGCAGATTCTTACAAATTAAACTCCCACTTCAGAGTAGGTTAGGTCTGCCGTTCCCGTTGTGGATGTAGTATAGTTCCTGGGCAGAAGAAAATTGTTGTAAGGATGTAAGACTTTCCGCAAACTTCCCAGACAAAAGTTGGGCAGCCTGGATCGGCCGACAAGGTGGACAGAGCCGAAGAGGACCGGTTACACTTCACAAGAGAGTATGCTCAGTCTATATAAGACTGAGAGGGACGATGGATGAAGTAAGGAGAGAAGAAGAACAAAAAAAGGAAAAAAAAAAAAAAAAAAAGAGGTGGTTGTGAAAAACAGATGTAACTAAGTATGGAGACGTATGCTGGAGTATACCCGGATGATCAAAGTTTTGGCAGATCTAGAGTTGGGTGGTGGCAAGAACAAGGTGGTTGTAGGGGAGAGAGAAGGGAAAAAGAGAGTTTGGTAGGTGGGAAGAGTCAGAGAAGCGATGGCAGAAAGGCAGAGGAAGACAGAGCTAATAACACATCTGAGACCATTGTCCTCAATTAATTCTTTGAGCGAAATGGGCGGTGTTGCAGTGTCATTATTGCAGGCAAGATGATGCCTGTGTTCGAAAGTCTCAATTTACTAGATAATCTGATTGTTGTCTCCAATCCGCCAAGTCAACTACGCAGCTCCGGCATGGCGATTGGCCAGCTGGATTTTTCCTCTCCCATCCACCCACCACGCGACGTGATTGGCCCCGGCGCAGTTGTGGTCCAGTCGAAAAGCGTCGTTGATGCAGGAGTTGCCGAGTTTAGTTGTAGTCAAACGAGGCTGCATGCGCTGGGCGGCGAGCGAGCGAGCGAGCGACGGTGTGCCATTTTCCACCCGCTCTCCAGGTCGATAGCCGCAAGTGCTCCCTGCGACACGATGCGATTGACCTGAAACCAGGTCTGTGGGCATAATCCTAAACCCGAGCTTGCCAAATCACCCGCTTCTTAACGTAGGGAGTTACTTAGTTACATAACATCTTATTGTGTAACTAGTTACCTCACTGGTTAGTACTAGCCATCCCATTCCTGAATACCCATCATCAGAACTCAACGCAGTCAAACGGCCGTTCTCGACCCGTCCGTCATCTTTGAGTGACAGCGCTGGATGTTCGTCTACAGGAACCAGCGGCACCGTACTCCGTAGAACGCCCGGAGTTTGGTCACCGAGCTTAGCCAATGACGAGAGCCGGATACCTGGATGACGGCATCCATAACCTAATGCCGAAGTGTATTTTGCTTCTTTTTCGATCGAGGCGTTGTGCACTGTACTCAGGGACTTCCGTATCGAGAGAAAACGTCAAGCTGATCATCGAATTAATCCGCTAGACTCGAGATAGGCAGCGTCATTGTCCTTCCCGCGATCTGCAGTCCACGCGACATCCGGTAGTCGCAAATGCTGGGACATGTGTACCGTACGATGCGACCAGTTTTTCCCAAGTGGCGCCCAGCCGGGGTTGCGCACCAAATCTCTCTCAGAGTATCAAAGAATATTGTCGGCAGACAGCTAACTACTTGTCGGGCTTCTACATATTCAACCGGGAAACATTGCCAACAGTGTTGCCAGCCATTGACATGATCTGTCGACGGTCAATCAACGGGGTTTCACGATCCTCGAACATATGTATATGTGGGCATAAATAAAATGTTGCAAAAAAAACGGGTGTAACCACAAAAGTCATTGGTCCACTCTCCGCCAGCCGACCAGTCTGAGCCACGGCGCTTCTTCTGCCTTTTTTAACTATTCATTTGTTCATCTCCCCGACATCCAATGCAACCAGGACGCGGCTCACGCAATTGTACGCAGCAGCAGTAGCTGTGATCTCCACAATCTCCTTCTCGCTGAACAAGCCTTTCATCTCCGCGAAAATTGCATCCGGCACCTTCACCGTCCTTGTCATGGCCTCCGTGTATCGAAACACCGCCGCTTGTTTCCGACTAAACAAAGCCCCAAGCTCGGCATCCGTAGGCGTCTTCGCGTCCTTGATCATCTCCATCATCCCTTCGGTAAAGCCCACTTCCGCCAAGAACGGCGCGTGATGCTTCCATTCAAACCATGCTTCGTTGAGCGTTGCGACTCGGCAGATGGCTATCTCGCGGATGTCGACCGGTAGCGAGGTTCGGGTTCGGATCGCGCCGAGGAAGGTGTTCCAGCCATCGGCGACAGGGAACGAATGGAGAAGAGCAAGGTCGAGAGGGAGTAGGCCGGCTTCACCTCGCCGATCAAGGACTCGTTGGAGGATGGCTTTTTCCTCGTCGTTGGATGTTTGAGGGGGGTTTGGTGCGTATGGGATCTTCATGGTTCTTGGGGAGAAGGGTGGGTGGGATTGCGGTATCTTCGGCGGGTTTGAGCTTTAATGCAAAATAAACTGTTTTTTGAACGAGTAGAGGAGTTGACCGTGCCTTCAATTAGGATTTGAATGTAGATTGAACCTATGAGCTATTTTCGAGTATATAGATATAGAGATCAGTAGAAACCAAAGAAAGATAATATACTGTCTGTCCCCTGTTCAGGCCTCCGCGGCAGGACTGGAACCCCGCGCCGGAACGTGTCCCGCATACTCCCTACACAGCGGAAATGCTCGGCAATTTTCCCGTGCATCGGCATGCAGTTTTGACCCACGGTTCGGCGTTTATTTTATGAGCGGAATTTTAAGATGGTTAAATCTCAGCTAACAATTCCTGTCAAATAGCTCAACATGCGCTTCTTCTACCTTGCATACGGGCTATCCAACGAAGCATTATACTGACACGCGCTCCAGCGTCAAGTTGGGATTCAGTCTTTTTGAACCTACGCGAGCCGAGCAGAGCAGAGGAGCCCAGGACACGCTCTGGCCTTAGCGTCGGTCTTTCGGTCCCGATATAATCTCTCAAACCTTTTGCAGAGACTTCGTGGGCACGAATCATAATCTCCGGTGCATGCTTGAAGCTCCAGCGCTTCCCCATCATAAGCCATAGAAGTTATCCCAAGGTACACCCAGGCCAGAGGCCTGGCCTAATTGTGTCCTGTGCCGGAATATAGAGCGAATCTGTGATGAACCTAGACATCTATGTCATAACGGCTTCTGCTCCTGTGTCTTCGCTGCGTTTTTTTCTTTTTTTTTTTTTTTGTAAGAGCCTAGTGCACGCAACTCCCACTTTCAGGAAACGATGGTCCGACGGACCCTATGCAAACATTTTTAATTAGTAGGAAAGAAGCTATTTACGGAGTACTCAAGCAAGCCCTCATGTCCGGGTGCACGTTATTATTTTCGCCGGTCGAGGGGGAACGGTTACCTGGCTGCTACCGATGGTTGACTCATCAAGCATTAGCATATTGCAATAGCCAGGAAATAGGAGGTATGACCGTGACACTGTAGGTACGGAGGTACTATGCTTTCAAGAGGGACCTCATCCAGGCTCACCACGGCTTTTGAGAAGCGCCGTCGGGGCCGGAACTTCTCTGGGCAGTTTTGTCCTGCTCCCCATTCAACCATATTTCAGTTTTGCACTGCTGGAAACCAATCCACATTGACACACAGAGGACAGATTATTAGCCACCTCAGCCTTTTGACCGTCATCGCCTGTTGCTACAGTATTGTCTGTGGGCGACGAGAGCGAAGCAGACTGCTGCCAAGCCGCTAACTAACTAAAGAAGTGGCTTGCTCTGGGCCGTGCCGGCAAGGGGCTTGGCAGCCCCAAGGCAGCGTCACGAGCTGGAAGGTCGCTTTGAGAACAACATCGCTTCGACTGCCATCCACAAAAGCCAGCTCTGGTAGCTGCAAAATCCGAAGTGAATGCGATACATGATACGGGATCCCTATTGCTGATGCTGTTTCGATGAATTTCATCTAATTATCATAGCACAGAACATTCCTCCGCCATGTCAAAAAAGTCTGTCCCAACTGACGCGGAGCTGCTTGCCCAGTTTGACGACTTAAATGTCGGCGAAGGGACTGTGGACAATAGCTCATCTACGGAGCCGCAGGGAGCTCCAGAGCAGGATGTCCTGGCCGAACTTCAAAATCTAGCATCTCAGAGACCAGCCAGCCGACCGTCCACGCCACAGTCAAAGCGTACGTCAACCAACACTCCGCCAGCCGATAGAACGAGCGACGAGAAAACCTCATCTAGAAAGTCAGGCGACAGTACAAGACCATATCATATGAGTATGACACCGGCAGACACAACTTCGTCCGAAGCTGGGTCCACTCCCATTACCCCAGATCCTCAAGCTAAAGGAAGCGGAGGAGGATGGTGGGGTGGCTTTTTCGCAACCGCCAGTGCAGCAATGAAGCAGGCGGAGGCTGCTGTGAAGGAGATTCAGAAGAATGAAGAAGCTCAGAAATGGGCAGAGCATGTTCGGGGGAATGTTGGTATGCTTAAAGGCTTAGGTATGATCCATCGCTCCCATTCAGCTCGTTTCCAAGCTTCTTACGCGTCAATTTCTTTTTTTCTAATGTAGGCGGAGAATTGAAAACCCTCGCATTACCCACATTTACCTCCTTTATCCACACGTTGGCGCCCCCGATTTCGTCCCACGAACGACTTCAGATTCACATCACCCACGATCTCCGCGGATACCCTTCCCTCGACTCTCTGATTTACAATGTATTTGCGAGAGTAATGGCACAAGTTGAAGGTGGTGATCTCCTTGTTGTTCAGCGTGGTCAAGAATCAGGACCAAGGCGAGGTCCGGAATCTGGTGCATCCCTAAAACCCACTGCTGGCTGGAATGATGGACCATGGTGGCGCTACGTGTCTCCCAAACAGCCTCGTTCTATTTCTGCCATAAAGGGTGCGGTGGTGGCTACAAAACTTGCCCGGGCCAGCGCAGAGGCGTATGCAAATGAGTTCTACGCCGCTCGTGGCGGTGTGGAAGAGGCTGCAAGACAGGCATCCGAAATCTTGTCAGAGTCCAATCCTGTTCGCAACAGTGATATCTTCCTTTCTATCCAAGCTCTAAGTCAACCTGTATCCTCTGAGCTATTCCAGGCAGGGCCTAGCGGCGAATCCGAACCCACATCTGAGGTAGTGGAGCCAAAGGCTGATATCGAGGAAGAAATCTCGTTCGCCGTGTATCTCCATGATCCGGTGCACGGAATTGCATTCCATACCATCTCGCAGTCCATCCCACAGAGATGGATTGAGTGGCTTGATGCCTCCGCGCCGGAAACGGACACTGACGATTCTTCGGAGGCCGCCCAGTTCTTTGTTCCCGAAGCTATTGCAGAAATCATCGAGAGCGGCGGAGTCGACCCCCGCGAGTGGGTGGCAGAGTGGGTCGAGGATGCGCTTACTCTGGGAGTTGGTGTTATTGCACAACGTTATGTCGCCCGTAGAATGGGCGTGGGTGAAGGCGGGGTCGGCAAGGGCAAGATGAAAGTCGAGCAGGCCACCGTCGTAGAGAGCGGAGCAGGTGAAGCAGCAAGGGCTATCTGATATCCGGCACCACGCTCTTTGTGTCCTCCTACCAGATGAGCTAGCTTCGGAAGTGATTCTGGCGTTTTCCTCACCGAACCAAGCGGGGGTGTCTCTTACACTTGAGTCTTCTCTTGTGACTATAGTTTTTCCCATTCCTTTTGCTCCATGTCTTATGATGCTGGGTATTAGGTAGCTACATATACTTAATTTTCATCCCAATCCTCTGATTGAGAACTTTTCATGGACATCGGATTTCTGAGCGATCCTGGCCTTCTGTCGACATCGCGTGCTTACATAACTTTGCCTACCCAAGGCTGTGCATTGTTGGTCTTGAAACGCACCGATCGTGCGGCATTTTCCCTCCAACAATATCAGCTTTCTCCCCAGGGCTTCAACCCCTGGACAAGCCCAAGATTTGCGATGCTTCTGGCTCTGTGTCATTATCCTCCTGGCCTCTGCCAGTGTCGTGAAAGCGACTTGAAGCGGTCCCTCTAATGCATTTTTGCGTCGTTGCGCTCTTTTCCCGCCTCGGCGACGATGGAATTGACCTGGAAATGGCTTATCATCGTCCATGCTTTTATATTGTGGAGCGCGTCATTGTCCTTCTCCGCTATCGGGGCAGGGGTATTCCAGGGTATTGGCCTCATAGCTCTGGCGAGTTGTACCAGAGGTTGATTAAGCAATAGATTTTTATTTCCTGATTTACCTTTTTTTTTTTTTTTTTATTTTCTTTTATTTTTATTTTTTCCCATGTTGCTGATTTCACTTTTCACCTTTCTTTTTCCTTTCTATCCCAGCTGGTCCTGTACCTTGTCGTGTATACAAGCCTCTGCACGTTCAGCAGGCTGGCACATGTTCACAGTTGGGCGCCCTGCCTCGAACCTATTACGTCGTGATAGCTTCGTGATCCGTCTGCGTTCCGCCCCTCACTTGCATTAGCGCAAATCGCAGGTGAGCGCTTTCCACTGATTTTGGGAAAATCTCTTTTTTGTTGTGGCTACATATCTGGTTACATATTCGAAATTGGTCTGGTGGAACGGAGTGACCCCCTGTTGTTTTTCAGAGGGACCTGCTTGCGAGCTGATCCGAGGACGTCGAGAGCTTTCCTGGTACCTGTCGTCCAGCATCTCCGATCTAAGGACCAGCGATACTCCGCATGCTGTCAGATTGCCCTTAAAAGTTGTTGAAATTAAGGGGGGGAAGACCGCTGGGGCCACCAGTTTTCAGGATGACGGTTGTGAAAGATACGCAGATGCAGGATCCAGATCTAATGGATCAATGGAACCAATCGAGAGCGGGGACATTTCCCGACTTTAAACAGGATCAAAATAGCAACTTCGAAGTGCGAAAGGCAGACCTAGTGATACAACCTTTGAAAGCTGCGGCCTGTTTGGAAGATCCTCCAGTGGTCATAGACAATTGGCCACTCCCCCTAAATCACGGGTATGCCATCCCTATATCGTTGAATTGGAACATCGAAATTCTGAGAGAGTGTTTGGCAGCGTCTCCAGACCGGTCGGCCATCCAGCCTTCGAACAACCTATAACAAAACTCCCCGAGTACTCGTGCACTGAATTCCAGAACTACGGGCAACCATCGTGCGTATCCCAATGGGAGTCTGATACGAGCCATACTGAGCCACCGTTCCACTCTGCGCGATTTCAGCCAACAGCACCCTATTGCTTCGGGTCCGTGACCCCCTTCTCGGACACTGATTCTCTATTACAGGATCAATTGCATATATCTGATATTCATTGCCTTGAAAGCTCCAAACTACCACCTAAGCTCAAAGGCGATACTCCTCAACATCCTCAGACCCCGTGGCCTGTGAGCACAGATATGGAAAATCTGCGTGTATCTTTAAATACGCAGTATACGCCCGGATTCGAACTTGCAATCGATAGAGTAGAGGATCACGCGACCACCCAGTCCTTCTCATCCATATCAATAGATGGCCTTTTTCATCGAGGATCAACAGCAAGCAAAGTTACGGCCGAGAATACACAGAGTTTAAGGGTCAACCCTCCTGTTCCGGGCACTGAAACCCCTGATACAATGGATATAAGGTTGAATTCTGGCCTCCAACCCTCCGAGTTTGAATCATGTAGCCCAATTGGTTCATTGGGTGGTTTGTCAAATGACCAACGACAGTTATGTGTTTCAGGTGGATTATGGACTACCCAGGCGAAGCCAGCTCTACAAGTGCGTCAAATTTCTTGTGGGCAGGCAACGGGAGTAACTGTGTTGAAAGGTTCATCGCATTCCGGCAAACGGAAATCACTTATCGCCGCTGTGCAACATAGGACGTCCAGCATGCGACCGAAAGTCTCCGAGAGAGAGGAAAGGAGAGGTGATGGAACCAGCATAAGAAGTGGACCAAAACATCGACTCCCTTTTCAAATAGTCCAGGAAGATGGGAGAGGAGGCTCACTTTCGTGTTCGTCACAAATATTTCCAATTGCCAGGGCTCGTCGACAAGGGCCGTTATCCGCCGACGGAAGACGCGATGCGGCGCTTAGGAGAAAGGATAAAAGTGTGTGCATTTGGTGTCGCTTGTCCAAGAAAAAGGTACACCTTCTAAACAGTGATGGCATCACAGCGGACTAATAGGTGCCTGCCTCTCAAGTGTTCTGGTGAAAACCCTTGCACGGCATGCCTTGAGCAAGCAAAGTCCGTAATCGTCGAGCAGCCGTGCGTGCGTGCGGACTTTTTCCAGATTGTAGAGTCCGGGACATGCAATTATATCTGTGAGTATCGATCGACATGCCTTACGTTTCTATTTCCAAGTCTTAACCATTTCACAAGCACAACGAGCGGTGAACCACCTCACTCTCGATGGTTCATCGAGGCGCCGCATGGAGCTACCATCCGCTTTTGATATGGATCATTTTGTTTCCCAGCTCGAGAAGCGGCAAGGGGAATTCAACATCCGTGTTCAACAGGCTTGGAGAACCCTCTTTGTCTTGGACCTAAAGGAGGTTCATATTTATCTAAAGACCTCTCAAGGAAAGCAAAAAGGTGGGCTGTACGATTTGCGAGACTTCATCGATAACCATATCTTGAAGTTTAACAACTGGCAGAGATGTGTCAAAGAGTGTAACCCCATACAAGACGTGCTCGTGAGTGATTTCCCGCCAGCCCCTTTCCCTCAAATGAAAATTCTAGGGTGAAAGCTAACCTAGACCGCGGATTCAGTCCCTCCTATCCCAATGGAACAACATGCCAAGTCGAGCAAGTTACTACTTCGCCTTTCACTCGGACAATATTCCCGATTGCCTGATGAACATCGAAGACCCTAACGACCAAATAGAGATCCTCTTGGCGGCGCAATTATCCAGGATATTCTGCCGTAAACTCGAAGTGGACGGCTACAGAGCTCTGCAGTGCATTCTCAACAAGAACAAATGGGACGACACCCCGTACGACTCCTTTCTCAAATTCGTCCTCCAGCTCGGGCGCATACTCGTCAGTCTTCGCTGGAGGGTGTCGTGGTGGGAGCTGCTCGGCGACGGTGGGCTGAAGCCGGATATTAACAAGGAACGATATGAAGACCGGGTGCGAAATCTGTGCAAAGTCTTGTACTTTTATTACACATCTGTCAAACTCAAGCTGCCATCGTGGATGGCACCGGATCAACTGGATGGCGTTTGGTCTACGTATGCGGATGCCAATAAGGTGTGGGATGATTTCCCCTCGATGGCCACCGCCGAGGGGTTTGAGGCATGGATGGCGAGAGGAAAGCAGCTCATCAAAGAGGCTGGGGTACGGAATGGTATTCCGAGTATATGAGGGCACTGGGAAAAGCTCCCTTATCAGCTTACTAAGGGCTTGAAATCCGTCCTGGGGTTGATAGCAAAACGAGCCCAGTGAGGAATACCGTGTGGCAAAGCGTTCCGGAACTGGATCATGGGCTGAAGCGACTTGCTTTTGGCGATATAATCTGGATAGATAATTCATGTCCCGGATGGGAATTCGAAGGGACATTTCAGCAATAGACAGTATCGCGCCTTGTTTTAACACGTGCATATATTTCTATGCATTGCAAGCCTATAGAGCGGATTAAAGTGTAACGTTATACTTTCTCGGCTTGCCACGCTTAGCTAGCAAATTACCGGGTCAAAAGACCGTTCATTCGTAGCTTAACTTTCCCACAGTTTCCTCATGGTAAAAACACACTTATGAACATAGGGAAGGGTATATCTCGAACTGCCCACCTATGATGGGGTGCTTTTGATGTCAGGCAGAAGGTCTACAACCTGTAGGAAGAGCGCTTTGCTGATAACATCTCCTCTCTGTTTTGCAAGCGTCTCCATGCTCATCCATCTGCAATAGGTTTCCCCCCTCTCTTCTTTTCGACCAGACATGCGTGGTTTGCGCCCGGCAAGCGATGTCCTAAAGGAGACTGTACTTCCATCCCATACCACAACTTTTCTCTATCCCACCGTAGCGTTGTAATCCATGGCCGTGACGCGTATTTCGATCCAGACGAGTATGCAACCAGCTATTTGCGTGAAGTCCCCGAGAGAAAGGGGAGATTTTTTCTCTCTTCCCCCGGCCTGCTTGTCTCACCATTTTCATTTCTCCTGGTGCTTCTAGCCACATTCCTCCCCCCTCCCTCCCCCTCTCCTTCGACGATGATATCTTCTGTCGTACTAGATTCATTTCTTGTTTCCTGCTCCTTTCTCGGCCCGTTTGTCGGATTTAGCACTCTTCTTGCCTCCACGGAGCAACTCCAGGTGGCCGGCTTTCTCAGCAAGGTTCTGTTCCATTTTTGCGGTTAGACCGGCGGAGAGTTTCTAGATGAGAGTTCATGCGGTCAGCTTTTCTGCTTTCCCACTGTAGAAAACATTTTTTTTTCAAGAGAATATATGGGCAAAAGAGAGACATCGACGGCGACGAAAGGAAGCGGGGAGAGTGTCTCGCACGCCACGCACCTTGCTCAGTTTCTTCTGCTTGACGAGAGCCGCCTTCTTCGGCGCAATTGCCCGGGCGCCCTTTTTGGGTCCGAGAGCCGCCGGCCTGAAACGGTTCGCTGCGGGTCAGTTCGAGTTGACAATGTCCCGATCGGGCAGGGAAACACACCTTTTGGCGGTGGAGGACGCCGCCGGTTTCGCCTTCTTGATCGCCCCCTGCGCCATTGCTGCTGCCTGAAAAGAGAAGAAAACAAATAATAAAATGGGCAGTACCAGCCAGAAAGGGAAAGGAAGGATTTATTTCCTCACACGGCAAGTTCGCATTGCTTTGATTCGCCGCTTGGGTCACGTGTGTGTTTGCTCGTATGAATGCGGGCTCTGATTGGCCAGTGCCCCAGCTGCTGGTGTTTGCACGGTTTGCAATGTTTGCTCGCCCTGTTTGATCTTGTCTTGATGGCCGGATTCACATGGAGGAGACGAGTGTATAGATATATATATATATATATATATATATATATATATATATGTAGAGAGAGAGAAGAGAGTACTCCGTAGAGAGCATGGTGAGAGTATCTCTAGACTTTACTCCGCAACTTTTCTTTTCATATGACGACCCCAGAAAACCCCCCGCCAGACGTCCACATATCTGCAGCACTCCTGCTGCATGACATCCGCGAGAATCGTAAATTAAACGGTGGAGCAGCAACCGCGGCGGCGTGTCTTGGCAGGAACCACATGCCAAAACAAACAAAAGGGATGGATTTGTTTTCGCACGCCGTCGAGCTGCACCACCGCGAGGGCGAACGAGCGTGAACAGGAAGCAGAGATAGAAGACCGAAATGCTCGTCCGCCGGTCCTGCTATCTACAAGCTGCGTTGTTGATGAGGTGCGTCCATGCACAGTGAGTAGTTAAGTTTCTGGACACGCCGTGATCCAGTTCCGTTCTTCTGTAACGGACTCGCCGCCTTGCTCTGGATTTTCACAAGGGCAAATTTTCAACCCACTTTTTACGCCCTGCTATCGTCTGATTCCTCGGCTCACGCAATCCCTTCCACGACCACATTTTCGAGCCAAAGGATCGGACCGTCCGTGCCAGATGACCAATCGGGCGCCGCGTTGGAGCCCCCCTTCGAGTCGCCGTTAGAGTCGCGGTATGGAGACGAGAGCCGGGTTTTCTAAAATTATTGCAGCCTCATTTCCCAAGCTATGGACAGCAGTGTCCTTCCCGATCCCGACACCCCTTTATCTTCTTCTGCCTCCGCCGCAGCCCTCCGTGACAACCAGCACCAACAACAAAGACCATCCTCCTCCCAGCGACGCAGCTCCGTTCTCGCCCTCAACCGCTCGCCGCGCACGCCTCCCAGCCCGCGCCCGCGCGAGTCCCCCTTCAATCGACAGAATCGGCGCCTACAGCTACGCAATGCTGGTTTTCGCGGCGGCGTCCTCCTTCCTACCTTTCGACCCGTAAGCCCTCAACTCGCCACCTGGAGAAGCTTTTCCGGGGGCTCAGAGCGCCACGGTAGCCAAGAGGACAGCAGTGTTGTGGACTTCGGAAGTCGACGCCGATGGAGTGATGACGTCCAGTCTAGTGCTTCACAGAAGAGAAGAAACAGTATCCTACAGGAGATTGGAAACTCTACCCAACGGCGAGCGTCGCATTCTCCGCGTCCCCTCCTCTCTACGCTCTTTGATGAATTGGAGAAGGAGAATCTGATCGTCTCCGAGTCCGTGCCCCGCGCTCCCTTCGATAACCCTCGGCCAAAGACACCCCTGTTGGAGCCATTCTCCCCGGACGAAGCCATGAAACCAAGCCCCCGACCGTCCTCTAATACTCCCAACATCCCCTCCCTAAGATATGATGGCCGACAAAAGCGGCAAACTGCCTCTTCCCGGGTTGTCAGTCGCGGAACAACCCGATACATCGAGCATCTGGAGGCCCAGCTGGCGGCCTCGCTGAGCCGTACCGATTCCGACGATCCGTCGGCGTTGAATAGCTATGCATCAAAGTACAAGACCTTGAGTTCTGAACATAGATTATTGAAGCAGGAGCTTGCAGAGTGGGAGGAACGATTCGAAGCCCGAATAAAAGAGGAAATCGGCGTGATGGTCGATCGAGAGTCCCAGTTGCGTTCAAAAGTACGTGCTTTGGAGAGGGAGCTGGAGACCAAGGATAACAAGATCCGGGAACTCGAATGGGAGGCGGAGATGGACCATCAGCGGCTGCGAAGCCTAGAAGCTGTTAATTCAACCAACCGAAGCCTTGAGAGAAGGGTGGACGTGTTGACGGAGCTGCTTGCGCAGTCGCCATCAAAGTCAGAACAGGATGCTAGGACAAACATCGGACTCGGGTCCATCCCCCCAGACGACGAACCGGTTCGGCGGACACCTAGACCCAGGTCGATGTTTTCCAGAATACCCCTGTCCCCCGTCCGGCGACAGCTCTTCCAACCATTGGTGGTCCCCGAATCGGAGTCCAACGACGCTGATGGTGGTGTAGTCCGCCACGACGAAGTTCCCGAGCTCGACGTCAGCTATACAGAGGCAGTGGCAGAGGAAAGGCCAGTCTCCGAACTGGGATCTCTAGATTCTGGCTTGGGAGATTCGTGTTCAGTAGTGTCCACTCGGCCATACGGCTCTCAGAGATCGTCGACAATCTCTCACTCGTCCGGTTCCTCAATGTGCGGAACCTCTTTCCCTTTACCTCTCGACCTTCCACGCCGGCATCGAAGGATGCGACGATTTCCCTCGGGATCTTGTACATTGAAGCCGCTGATACTGCCTGCCACTTCTTCTTTGTTGTCACCAACAAGTCCAAGCTGTCATTATGACAGTGTCGAACATTCCGCGACTCACCTATGTACCTATTCAGCCAATGAATGGCATAGTCCTTCAAACTTTGTTCAGGTCCATGAAGACACGCTAGATGCTCTCGAAGGAAATACCCATCAGTATCAATCCTTTGAGGAGGCCATTTCCGGCCACGCGTTGTCCGACGTTTCCGATGTCCCGTACGAGGATGACGTTTTTGGTGATGGACCTGACGCAGATTGTTTCCCCAACGGACACTTACATCCACCAGGGCTTTTCGACACGCCCATTCGCCACCCTCACTCCGACGTCGACCCTTCAAAAAAGCCATTTGCCCATGATGCACACTCTCCCGCGGGCATGACCGTCCACGGCGGATCTTCCCGCAAGAAGAGACGCCTCCGGAACCGAGAGTACTCGCCCGGTCCCGAGGTTACGCCACTCATAGCGAGGCATTTCAGTGCCCGCAAACCTAGTGCGGATCTGGATCTTGCTATCAACAGCACCATCGGCCATTCTCATTGGTTCCGTGACATTATTTCAGGCTCAATCGTGCTGGCGAAGCGTATCCTTTTCAATTCATGGCACTCGAATTGGAAAAAAATCGGAAGGCTTCCCTGGTGGGTTCTCGGGTTGATTCTGGGTGTGCAAAGGAGAGATGGGTGGTTTAAACGTTCTGTGCTTGCGCACGCTGCTTGGACGCCGGTGGATAGTAGTTCAGCAGAAACAAACCCCCTAGGACGTGTTGATCATACCCGCGCTGGTACAAACGCGACCACTCAAAGTCCCGCGAGGACAAGACTGTCCATCCAAGAATCAAAGAAGCGATCGAATACCGATTCTTCCAACCCAAATTGCGATGAGGTTGCTGACACGTCCGTCACCCGGCTTGCGCCCCCTTTCCACTTGTGGGCGAAATTCTCGCTCGCGATTGCGCTGGCAATTGGACTAGCCATTAGGGACGGGCCAGCATCGCTGATGTGCCCGTGTGCCGCGGAACAGGATTCCGAGATTAACACGCGATCTCCTTCGGGTGAACCTTTCAAGGATGCTCCCCTGATACAAGAAGTCATTGCGAAACAGACCAATTTCCGCTCTCATAATACCGACACTTGCGACTGACGGTTACGGCTTTCATTAACCAGTTCTGACCCGAGATCTGTGTATTCTTACTTTTGTCGAGCTTTTTTCTTTTCCTTTTTTTTTCCCCCTCACCTGAAACGAGATGTTTCTGTACTTTCATAATGTTTCATCGGCGGTGATAACCCACCGGCTTCCTTGCCCCCTTCTTGTTTCCATGATGATGACGACTTTAACGAAATTTGATATTTTTGATGATTCTGGCGGCTCCGCCTGTACTACGGCAACTCGCCGGCTTCATTTTTTATTTTATTTTATTTTATTTTATTTTTTTTGCATTTTTTTCATAAGGTTTAACTATCCCGAATAATCGAACTTCAACTTTGAAGCTCAAATCTGTACATAGGTTACCAAGAAGAGTGTGCACTCCGTATGACAGCGAGTATTTTACTTTGAAAAGCAAATCAAGTATGGCATACACCTGAACCAGATCCCAAGCCCGCGCCGTCACTAAAAAGTCCATTGATTATGTACAGGGTGCTGCAAAGTAAAGAGATCCTAGGTAAACTAGCTACAGATGAGAGAGTTTCTAATTTTTGCTGCGTACTGGGTAGAATGCGTCTATTGGCAAAATTTGGTGGAAATTGACTGTTTGAAAACCCGTCGGTACTCGAGGATGATTCTTCAAAAGTTAAGCTCTGCGTCTGGGTTGGTCATTCATTGTCAGAGTTATGGATAAGTGCGGCGGTGGTCTTGAGAAAGTCGGGAACGACTGGGACGAACTGGGACTCCAGCTCCGGGAAGCCTTGCGTTTTACAGCTTTCAAGAGGTAGAGGAGGCGTTGGAATTGCCGGGTGGCTAACGACGAGCCTCTATCGTCATGTAGTTAACTGGTTAGCTGTTGTATTAGTTATATAAAGCAGATTTCTCTCATTCTAGCTTGATGCCAATCTGGTTTTTTATTCTGGCATGGTCTGACTGACACCCTTCCTGACTCTGACCTAGATTGGTACTGCTGACTTGACTGCAATTCAACTCCTGGGCTGGAGTCAATACCGGTCGCAGCCTACGCATGCACTCCAGCGCATCATAAAAATAGGTAAACCTTGGTCCTTTGCATAGCTCTTCTCCTAACCGCTGGGGGGGGGCATCATATGTTACAGGTCGGGTTGGTTATATATTGCTCCCCAAGCACCCTTGATTCTCTCAGAATCTTTCTTCAATTCTCATGCTTCCGCAGTCTTTAACCCACGCAAGCCCACCCTCTTCACTTCTCCTTTACAGTCCCCCTCACTCACCCACCGCAGCATGGCGTTCCAGCATCGCCGCCAGTCATCCTATGAGGGTGTTCTTGATCTACCCGGTCGCGCTCATGTTCCATTGCAGTCTCACCACTGCCATCAGGCATTCTTTGAGGGCCTTATCAACTATTCGTCACTGGCGCCCTTGACTGTGGATGAACGCTCTCGCGCCCAAGGGGCATTGGACAGGATTATCAATCATCTTGCCAATCACAGTGGTACCAAGGGTGGATATACTCGCCATTTACTTGTCCGTCATACCTATGACTATTCGCAGTCTGAGCTGTCCAAGGATACATTCTTGCGAGTTTTCTTCAATGTTATGGGGCTAGATATCAGCAGTGATGAAGATATCAACATGGATGATGATCAGATGCCTTCAAAATTCATTGATTTTGCAGACGTACTTCTCGAGCAGTTCTTCTTCCCATGTTTGTGCCATATTCGTCACCCTATCATTTTCAATTCACTAATCCGTTTACAGTGAAAGCAGGTGGGAAAATTACTCCACAGCCCTCTCCTGCACATCTTTCAGCAATCCAAAGTGTACAATCACCACATGAGATTGTTGGCACCTCAGAGCGAGTATCATACATTCGGGCTCTTTGCCTCATTCGTGACCACCACCGTTGTGTGATCTCGCGAGCTTTTGACTCGCAACAGGCGATAACACGAATGATGCAGCATGGTTCAAATGCTCGAGATGATGATGGGAAACTGTTTGAAGACAATGAAATATTAAGGTTCCTGGAAGTGGCTCACATAATTCCCCATTCCCTAGTACAAGGAAATGAGAATTCCGAGCTGGTAGGTCACCCATCCACAATAAGCTTTCCCATGGTTAAATGACGGACACAGAGTGATACCAAAAAGATGACGCTTATGATTCTTAACATGCTCGACTGTGATGTGATTCATCTCATTGAGGGTACGCACATTGATAGCCCACGCAATGCTATCAGCCTGACTATTGATTTCCACAAATACTTTGGCAACTTCGACATATACTTTGAACCTATTGCCAACCAAGAGCATACTTACCGCATTGACAGTTTCCTCCCTCCCATCTTTACAGCGAGTCTGGGACTTCCTGTTACTCGCAAGCTCCTTCTCAGCGGAGGAAGGGTGATGGATGCTCCGTTGCCCAAGCTACTTGCCCTACACCAGGCCATTGCTCATATCCTTCACTTGTCAGGGGCGGGTGAATATATTGATAGAATACTCCGGGACTTTGAGGAAACCGGTGTGCAAGAGGATGGGTCAACAGACCTGGGACGTATTGTGAACCTGAGACTTGGTGGTTGGCTAGATGGTGCCGTTGAAGCTCACTAACTAGTTGTCGAGTGAAACTTGCGGGTATAGTTTGTGGCATTTGCGGCTTTGGAGGGCGTGCTCTTCTGGCTCAGCGGCCAAAATATAGTCCGTTTTGGTTCCTACACGAGGCCTTGGCCTGTCCGCATTTCAGTACTTCTCATTCCCATGATTAACTTAATGCCCGCGCGCACTCCCGGAATCAGCCTTGTTAGGACTGAATAGACAACAAAGGGTCTAATGGCAAAGAGAAAGATTCGTCTGCTGGGAAATTGATGGTTAAGTACTTGGCCACTTGTTTTGGTGGTACAAGTTCATACTTGGCAATTATCAAAGTCACATCACTGTAAGCGCGAACATCAGGCTTTTACCCGAGGTGAGGGAGCGCACGGATCTGCAGCAAGCGATCTGCAGGAACGTTTGAGAATGGGAGGCTGACTGCTGTGGCACAGTAACCACTTCATCCATACAGCAGACATACACACAAAAATATGGAGTACTTCATACATACATAATACGTGGCGCCATGCTGCGCAAAGGGAGAGGAAAAAAACAATGCGCCACTTTGAAGACCGCGTGGTGAGAGTGTGTGTTCCGCGGTGATCGGCGACGCGCGATGAGGTCAGTCTCACAACACGTGTGGGGAAAGTTATATGACGATCGGAGAGGGGATTATATAAGGCTTATTTCGATCGTCAGCAGTAGTTAGCAGGAGCTGTGGGAAGTCAGCTGAAGACTGAATCCATTGGACCGAGAATAATGACACGGAGAGATGCAGATGGATTTGTTTCACATTTGTAGATGAGGGAATAATTTCAAAAAAAAAAAAAAAAAGGAAAAAAGGAAAAGGGAGTGGCGGAAAGCTAAGTTAATCATTGGAATTTTTCCCGTTGTTCCAGCAGCCGTTCATGATGGAAGTAAATACACGAAGGTTGAAAATAAGAAAAAAATAAAGGCTCTTGCCCTATCAAATCAAAAACCAACAATATGTACTTGTACTTGCATACAATTCCTCACACATGAAAGACCCGTCCCAATCAGTAAGAATTAACCGTCGCTTTCCATTTTCATGAAAAAAGGGAGTAAAAGATGATGCGATTGAGCAGTAAAGGCTTTCCATTTCCCCGTGGGTTCCCTAGCGAGAATAAATCACCGTCGCAGCACAAACGGCTCAGATGTAACAAAAAAAGAGTTTGTATTAGAAAGAAGCAGAACATGTGTATCATGAAGATGTCGCTCTCAAGGCGAGGTTATTATTCGCAAGGGAGCGCGAAGCCGGGAGGGGAATTTAGAAAGCCAGGACGGCAGCAACGGCGAGGATTGCGCCTCCGAAGCTGAAGGCGTTGCGGCCAGCAGCACCCTCGAATGGTGGAGAGGATGGAGATGGAGTGGGCGTGGCGCGGTAGCTGGTGGGAGCAGTTGGCACAGAGGAGGAAACAGTGCCTGGGGCAGTGCCGGTGGGGTACGGAGCGGTGGTCTCGTCGCAAATCGTGGTGGTGAGAGTGACAACGGGAGGAGGCTCGATGAGGGTGCGAGTGACGGACGGGGCGGGCTGCTCATGGTGGTCGTTCTTGATGCCGAACTGGGTGGACCATTGGTACTGACCGGTGGACTGATCGACGATGAGGAGGCCGTAGTGGGTCACGTCGTTCTCGAGAGTGATGGAGGGAGTCCATTTGAAGGAGCCGGTGTTTTCGGTGGAAGCGGTGATGACAGCGATGGGCTTGACGTTCTCGCTGGGGCCACGGAGCAGCTGGATGGAGATAGGTCCTGGGCTGTCTGCGTCCCAGGTGATGGTGTATTCCTCACCAGCGACGACCTGCTCGTCCAAGCCAGGCTTAGAGATGGCATTGCCCTTTGGGGGCTGGCTGTAGTCTGGTTGCCTGATGGCAGAGGCAACGGCCACGAGGGCGGAAAGGACGATAGCAGTGAACTTCATTGTGAACTCTGGGAAAGGCGGTGTTATATCCCGACTCTTCGCGTGAAGTTATTAAGTGTATATAGGGTGTGGTTGTACAAAGTTCAGATAAAGAGCGAAGGACAGATATCCTCGAGCTGGGGAGGGGGGTCAAAAGAGTGACTGGGGTTGGGGGGGATTTTGGCTGGAAGCTGAATGAAAGACGGACGAGATGAAGGAGGGAATGGAGGAGAAGAAAAGGAAAAGCGAAAAAGAGAGGGAGAGAGAGAGAGCGCGGTGCCGGGGAGAAAAAGGGCAGCCGAAATTAGGCTGACGAGGGGGAGCGAAGGGGTTGAGCCTCACGCCGCTCGTCTCTATGGCGGGCGCGATAACACCTTTCCGCTTTGGGCAACTTTGGCCCAGGAACAAGACTCACTCGCCTAGCCGGAAGCGGACTAGCGCAACACCGCCAAGAGTCGATGCGAGATGAGATGGAAACCAGCTGGCCAATCAAAGCCGCTCCCATGTGTTTGGCGGTGGGGGGCAATACGGTATTGTCAAAAGATGGAGAAATAACGGGGGAACCTTGCAGCTCACCGGGCCGCCCACACACCACCACATGCACCGCCTTGCACCACCACCACACAGGCTGCAGCAACCGCCGTCGTGGCGACGCCAAAGCAAACGGCCTTATCGATACTGTAACTAGCTGCTGGCGATGGTGGTAAGTAATACCAGCTCGCTCACCGCACCAACCAAGGCTTTCCCCCTCTTGTCGCAACACGACACTGTCATCGCGGCGACAGCTGGCGAACAGCTCTCTCACCCGTTCGCAGATTCAACGCAACACCCCCATCGGGGTAGCGGAGAGTCCCATCCCATGTTCCTTGCCATTGGAAACTTCCAACAGTCTGTGGCCTCCCAGGCCCTGTCGCGCGTCGAGTTACATGCGCCTGACCACTTCGCAATGTAACTTTGCATCACACGGAGTACATACAGATAAACTAAATTAGGCTCTTGCGCTTGTAAGATTGGCCAACCGAGCTCGCTGCGGCCAATCAGCGGCTGCCCTGGCAGTTGGCTGTTTTTGCAGGCAGCCGGCGCCAAGCCGAACTTCCGCTCTCTTGGAGTTCCAAAATTCGCCGCGTCGAAGGCGTTGCGATGGGGACGTTGGTGATGATAGAGGGCATCATGGACTTGTGTTGAGTACCATTTTTTTTTTCTTTTTTTTTTTTCTCTGGACCGCGCGTCGACCAAGAATGCGAGACCAACTGACACCCGCCAGCTCGATCCCTGAGTCGATTGTGTCATTTCGGAATTTTATTTCTTTCCGTCGCATAATTTTTTCCCACCCTGGCGAACTATTGTCTCTCTTGTGTGAGTAAACGGGTCGCCATCCGGCTCGACACGCCGTCGTTTGTCTCGCCACCAATCGACGAGGCACGCATCTTCGCAAACAGGCCTCGCCCAGGGGCCGGCAAACGATGGTGCGGCTGTCGACGCGCTGCAATAATACAGTCCTACTAAGTAGCACTCCGGACGTCCGATGGACTCTCCTTCAGACAGGTGTGCCTCCATGCGACTAGCCATCGTTACCACTTGTGCGTTCTGGCCTTCAAACGGACCCTCCCCGCTTCTCTTTTTTTCCCCGAATCCCCTGTCTCTTCCGTAGGCAACTATACACCCTCGCTTGCCCACCAACAGGTAAATTGGGGCCCAATTCGCACAAAGAACCACTTCGCGACATTTTTGCAGGTTTGTCCTCCATGGCCAGAAATGCCGGACCGGGGGTACGATTAGTTTTCAAGTTTCGAGGAACGTTTTCTTTCGCGCTTGTCGGGTTGTCCACTTTGAGGGAGAAAACGTCTGCGGATCACCATACTCCGTCCACCACTACTTAGCTGAATTGTGGATTTGCTGGAGAATTCTTTCCCTTTCAAGAAACGCTTTCATAAGGCCAACCTTTTTGGCGGTAAAAAAAAAAAAAATCTTAAAATATTTTCTCAAAACCCAGCTCTTCGTATGGAGTGTCGTTCGTGACTCCGTAACTTATACAGAGCTAGTCTCACCCGTACCGGAAGCCTGCCTATAAGATATGACTATTTATCTTTTTGTGTGGAACGATAACATCAGCTAAAATCTCCACTCTCTCAGCCTGTCTTTGAGGGTCCGCTTCATGCGTGCTCTGCTGTGACGGAAAGGAGAGATCGGAGGACCAATGAGCCTTGTCTCCGACGACAGGGCCCCATCCCGGGATACCCAAGAATTTGATATTAATGTGCCCCGTTTACTGCGTCCAGAGCACAGATGCCCAAAGTGCATGTCTGCATGCATGCATACGAACCTACACACTGTCACGAGGCTCAAAATCAAGGATCGAAACGGTGAACGCTCGAGTTGAAATGGCTCATGCTCAAAGCTCAAAGACATTTTTCTGGAAAAATGGTGTCTTGACGCTCTTCGTGAGACAAAACGGAAGTCATTGTGCTCAACCCCCCTCCCTGTTTTTCTCTTTTCGTTTTTTTCCCTTTTTTTTTTTTTTTTTTTTTTTTCTCCCGCCCTGAGGCGCAGACAATCTTGTTTCAGGATGAGGTACATGTATGGAGTAAAACCTGCTAGCTATCTTCAACAAGCAGCTTGTCCTTGGTTACAAGACAAGGCTGTTATACAAGAATAAGATTAAAGATTTGCAGATTATCATTCATCCATTCATACATGTTAATGTCCGGTACGGAGTAGTAATACGGAGTCACTGAGCTGTTCCCGAACAAATCGACAATCACCAGTAACAGCTTTGAACTCCCGAAATGAGCATGGAGCCACCTTTTTCTGCGCCATTTCTGTCTTCCGACCGCTTAAACTTGGTAGCTGTGGCTTGGTAACGGAGTACCTGAAGATCATTCGAAGTGCTGTCTAAATATCCATCCATGTCACAGACTTTGTGGTCAAGAACTCGTTGAGGCCACTTATGCCGCCGAAACGACCAAAGCCACTCTTCTTCATACCGCCATGTGGAAGAGCGGGCTCGTCGTGTATGGTAAGTGAATTGATATGAACCGCTCTGCAAGGACAAGAGAGAAGAGAGTCAGCACGTGCCCTAATACCCAAACGCAACCCCTTGAGAAGAAGATCGCTTTCTGAAGAAAAAGGGAAAAAGCTTACCCCGATTCGATCTGTTTAGCCACACGCAATCCTCTCCCTAAGTTGGTCGTGAATACTGCCGAGGTAAGACCATATTCTGTGTCGTTGGCCAGCGCGATCGCTTCCTCCTCTGTGTCAACGACAAACAGCGAAACGGTAGGGCCGAAAGATTCAGTCGCATGTATATCCATGTCTGGAGTGACGTTCTCAATGATAACAGGCTTCATTCTTGTGGCTGAGGACTCCTCTCGGTGAAGGTCTCCGTGGACGATACCTGCTCCCTGAGATACTGCATCGGAAATGAGCTTCTTATTCTTTGCCACCGGAGTCGCATTGATTAGAATTGGCGACGGGGCGTCGTCGTGGTACATGTTTTTCATGGTCTCTACGAGGGCAGAACGGAATTTCACTGCAACGGCTTGTTGAACAATGATACGTTCAGTGGACATGCAGACTTGACCAGACTATTATCTAAGAGTTAGTGGCGTGGAAATGCACAAATCAGCTCGAGAAGGTAGCATTCAAGTGCCTGACGTACGTTCAAGAAGGCTCCGAGGATGCACTGCGTGGCAGCCTTGTCGAGATCTGCGTCGTCGAGCACAATGGAGCTTGCTTTGCCACCGAGCTCCAGCAGAACTGGTTTGATGTATTTTCCGGCAGTCGAAGCGATAATGCTGCCTACGACTGTGCTTCCTGTGAAATTAATCTTGCGGACAGCTGGATGAGCGATCAAAGCCGTTGTGATCTCAGCAGCATCGGCAGGGCGATGATAGACTACATTGAGACATCCGGCTGGCAAGCCAGCCTCACGGAGTACATCTGCAATACCCCAAAACGTCTTTGGAGACAGCTCCGAGGCTTTCAGAACTACTGTGTTACCAGCCATCAGTGGGAGGAGAATGGCGCGCAAACCCAGTGGGAAAGGAGCATTCCTGGACATCTTGTTAACATCACGGCACCAACAGCAGCACTAAGCTTTCCTAGAAAGAACCCTTACCAGGGCACAATGCTTAGAATCACACCATAAGGCACTTTGTAAACTATCGCACTCTGTCCATCCTCCAACACCTGTGGAACAACGCCTTCGATGTTGGCAGCTCTTCCGGCCACGTCCTTGAACATCTGGTAGCCAATTCCAAACGTAATCTCCGGAAAAGGGCCCGAAGCACCGGTCTCTTCGGCACAGTAGCCGATCAATTCATCTTTGCGTCGAAGATAGATCTCAGCGGCCTTGAGCATGATGTCCTGGCGGACAGCTGGCTTTGTCTTGGACCAGCTCTTGAATGCAGTGTGAGCGGAGTCTACTGCGCGAGTCGCATCGTCTACGGTGGCGCTGCTGCATTGATAGATAACCTTGCCTGTGCCTGGGCTATTCACATCGAATGCTGTTGATGTGACGACGTCCTTGTTGTCCACGATGAGGGGGACCGTGTTGTTCGCCATGATATGCGGTGAGGGTCGCTGGCGGCGATGGGCTTCTCTTTTTTAATTGATCCCGACGGAGAATGGCCGCCTCTTATTTATTTATTGTCTGGCCCTCGAGAAGCAGATGCACAGCGACTAAAGAGATCAATGGTCTAAAAAAATAATAACTAGAAATGGAGATAAGAAGATACTGAATCGAAAAGCATTGCCAGAAGCTGGGGTTTGGGGTTCGATTTAGTTAGGGTTTTCGCCGCCGCGAACACCAAGCTCAACGCAGCCATTATTTTTTTTTTCGGCGACTCCAGATGGCACTTGAGGCTAGAATGAACACAGATTCCGTGGTAGATGCGGAGTTTGTCATCTGTAATCTTGCTGAGTTTTCCTTCCCGGCCGCCATCGACGGGAGAACCGTGTCACGGGAGTGAGCAGAGGTCGGGATAAAGTCAAAAGTCTCGGAAGTCTATTTCGGTTATTGAAGTGCCACCCCCTGAGGCGAGGAACTTCAGCAATTTCTATTCGTCTTTGTGCAGTTTTCACGCAATGCGGAAATATCAAGCCCTTTTTTCCACATTTTCAGAGCAGCTGCTAGCTACATTGGGCCTGCGGACTGACAACATCACCATTGCTTGTGGCTGTACCCTCAAACAAGGGCTGTCTCCATTCTCACTGTCCTAATACAAGATTCACGATGAACACTGATTGAAGCTATCTGGATCTAGGCCCTCAGGAAGTTCAGAAATCCAGAAGTCTCCTGGGTACTTGGTACATTTTGAGAACGTTTGTTAATTGCATGTCACCATTTGATTCTATTGACAATGCAGATAAATATCACTCGGTTGTTGGCCTGCCACATGATGCCTGAAAGCCTGGCAGGTCTGTTTTGATACCAAAGATGAACAAAGACTTTGGTGGGAGCAAAGGTGCAATTGTAAAAGGTCACTTGAAGTCCCGATTCAGGGTAGAGAAGTGACATCGTCCTGGCTTGGAAAGTAAAAAACCCCCACGTTTTTTTATGCGTGTGAAGTGAATTTTCGAAAAAAGAAAGGCCGGGAAGAGCTTGTGTTAGCCCGGTTAAATCCTAATATCAGCTAAAAATAAAAGGAAATATAAGATAAAATAGTATGTCCTGTTATATGCACAAATATATATATATATAGTACATTCATTGGATTGACATATAAGGAATGTAGACCAAGTAGGAGAACGTAAACGCGAAACTTTATGGTTACTAGACCCCGAAAGCCTCATAGTTGGATAGTAGTCCTTTAAGAGCGACTCAATGGACTATCAGAGAGATCTCCAACTCGATATCTATTTAACTTCCTTTCCACTACTATCGAGCGTAGGTGAGGCGCAAGTTGCTATTGACCAACATCGAGGACAACGTCCCTTACGGCCAAAGCAATCGAGATATCCGTTGTAATTTGAGATCGTAGGATCTATGGATCATTAATCGCTAAACAATAGTGAAAGGTGGTCAGCAAATAGGGCAAATAGCTATTTGCCTAAATCAATGCGAGCTATCTTCCTCGAACCATCCCTTGATGTGCACTGGCATTCCATGTAGTGTTGTGAATATATAAAGCAGTCCTGCAGCTGTTCTTGTAGCTGCCACTGTGTATTAAGTTGCCATGCTTAGTTCAATTGCAGGCAAGGCAGCAGTGTACTCCGTAGAGGGTGCAGGATTGTTATTCAGCATACTCCTTTCGGGCGGCCAGGACCCCATTGTCATTCGCGAAGCACCAATTTAGTTCTAGACATGCCTCCTGCAAGCCTTTAGGGCCATAACATCTTGCATGCAATGATGTCCTTCGTTAACGCCAATGACGTGACAGGACCTTGAGAAGCCACCGGCTGAGGCTAGAGGACCAGAGAGGCAAGTAGAGGGAGAACTTCGGACGACTTCGTTTCAAGAGGTGTAAGGAAGAATTATATTAAAAAAAAAAAAAAAAAAAGAAAAGAAAAGAAAAGGGAAGTGGCAGTTTTTGGGTTGTTCTCTTTCTGTCGGTTCGGACTGTGAGAAGGCAGTCGCTTTTATATGCTCCTAGGTTGCCATTCAGGAGCTTTTCGGCTTCCATCTTGAACCCTAATGAGCTAATGAATATCTAGACTCCGGGCCCATCAGCTCAAATTGAAAGGCAACATATGAGATTTACAAGAGACTACGGAGTAGTTCTGGATTGTTCCCCGGAGCGACTCCAAACGAAGAACAATAGGAGAATTCAAATGCTTGAGATGTTTGCATAACCCACGGAGAGTGTCTACATGGAGGATCTACACATCTAATCATGGCGCTGAACGAAGAAGCATTCCATCCAAGCCGAATCACCTCGATCTAAAACGCCACTGTCTTGACGCCACCATCCGATGCCAACTCGAAAAGCGAACCATGAGGAAAGTTATGCAGCGGGCATGCTAGAAAACACCCAATTTTGCGAACTCATTCACCACTTCCTTATCCACGTTGACTAGCCACTCTTCACGGAATCGATCGATGCCGCCGCACACTTCGACGAGAGCACGGAGATGCTCGGTAACATAATCACGTATATTGATCTGGTGGATGGGATCGGCAAGAGTCCATACACGACGACGGGTGGTTTCAGGAGGTTCGTTTTCCTGGTACTTTCCTTCGGGATTATACGTGCTGCTACTGTTGAAATTCACCAGGTAGTCACCTGCCTGACCACCCATATTATCTCCGTCATCGGCTAGCTCGGTGATCACATCGGTCCAAATGCTAAGATAGGATTGAAGATTATTGAGAAGATAAGCTGGCGGCGGGGATGAAGGTCCGTTTATAGAGAGGAGATGGGTTAATGCTAGGGTATGGAGCTTTTTAGTCGCTATATCGCCGATGCCATCAAAGTGGAAAAACCACTCTTCTAGTATCCATTTAAGTGTTTGTTCTTCAGGGACAGGGTACGTTGCGGCCCTGACAGCTGACATGAAGACCCCTGGATTGGCCAATGCAAGCCTTGCAAGCACGGAGAAGTGATCAGTTTCCGCAACACCATCAATGGGTGAGTACCTTTTGTTCGGGCCGGTGGAGAAGCTCGCCTCGTGCGCATCATTCAGACCGGCAAGAAGAGTCCGCAAGAAAGAACTGCTAACAAACGACTCCGCAATCAGCGTATAGGTTTGTTCTTTTGCCTCGGGAGAAGTCTCTCCAATCCGTATCAGTGCTGACGCAAGATAAGGGACCAAGCCGATACGTGGGCGCACATTCGGCCCTAGAAAAGATTCTAACGCTGTAAGAAGGCGGAAGCGGACTTGTCCATCTAGGAATTCCCGCGGAGCTAACAGTATGTAAGACTCCGTGATTTCGAGAGCCTGTCGAACGCTTTCGGTTCCGATTTCGAAAACAGGGAAAAGGGATGGAAAGAGAGAGAGAATCTGTGAACCAGCCGGGCTTGGAGTTTGCGCTAACACAGCATACCACAAGTCAAGGGATTCCTCCAGTAGGTATACGAGGGATTCCTAAACAACTAGTTGGTAAGCAACTCGACTCTGCAAAGATGTTAGATCATGATTACATACCGATCCGGGCTCGATTGATTTCTGGATGAGCGGGAGAACTAATGGATGATATCTAACGGATTCTTGTTTCATGGAGTGGATGATGGAAGACAGGAGGGTCAATATTGCTTGCTTCATCAAATGTTCCTCTCCAGACTGGTCCCACAGAGATGGCAGAAGAGTAACAATTTGATCCGCATATGGGGATATCTAGATAAAGCAATTAGCTCATGTCAAAGGATTAGAACATTTATATCAGGACATACGTGGTCTTCAAGTTTCACTACGGCTACTCTAACAGTCTCAAGCAAGGCCATTTTCGTCTCTGGCAACGAAACTTCTTGGATTAAGTTCATCAAGGACTGTAGTATTGGAGGTGCGAATGGCAGGAAGCCTTCAGCGGTGAACTCGTATGGGTCCAGGACCGCTTTTAGTTGCCGACCAGCAGTGATTCTTACTACTTGGTCGTTTGTAGGGTCATCTTTATTGAGAAGGTGCTGGAAAATCCGATAGATAGAATCTCTATCCAACTCGCTAGGTTTTACCGGCACCCATTGGCCAAGTAAAATGGCAGTTCTCCGCCGGAGGATATAATACCCTGGTTGCTGGATTTGAACTTCAGGGATAAGTGTAGATATTAAAAAGGCATTGAAATCCAATGTCTTCTCCAAACATGCAGCCGCCAGCCCAATTGCAGAGTAAAGGGAATCTTTCAGCAATATGTCGTGATTCTGTGGAGCTGTATGGGTGTTAGAGAATGGTATTTCAAGGGCGTGGGACACTTACTTGCGTAAGAGTAAAACACATTTAAAAGCTTAGGGACCAATGAATCCTTGAAGTGAACTATGAGATCGAGGAATAATTTCTCAGCACAAGAGCGGATAGAGAATTCCCACGCATGAGTTATTTCCTCCTCACGTTTCTCCCATTCCTCAGGCTCCTCTTCCCATTCTCGCAGGTCACCTGCTCGAAATACGAAAAAGCGGGTAACCAGTAGCTCCATAACCTGAACAGCAAAACCTTCTACAAATAATTGGCTCTTGATTAGCTGAACCGCTGAGTTTCGCTCCTCTTTATCTTCAGGATGCTGATATTTAAAGGTCTGAACTGGATGAAAGGCAAGCTTTGCGCAAGCTCTGAGCAAAAGAAGTCCCTTAAGCCCAAGTTTCTCCAAGAGTGTCTTCTCTTTACTGTCGGCGTCACCACCAGTCTCAATCCTCAGCTGAGAAAGGTCACTTGAGCCATATGACTTCCCGAGTTCTGTTACCAGGTCCCAATAAAATTTAACCATGTCAATGGATTGGGGAAGCAATGCGAACCCAGCTGGGTGGTCTTTAGCCATCGCTAGATGAAGTTTCGATAACTGAATGGCATGTTTCCCTATCAGTGCCGTAAAATGGGTATCTAGGTTGGCCGGTTGTTGTTTCGAAATGTTGACAAAATTCGCAAAGTGTGTTAGAGTGAGTGCCCAGAATTGTTGGACATCGGTATTCCTGTTAGGATTCTCATACCCTGAGATAATCAAGCGACGGATGATTTTCAAAGCGATCAAAGTTTGCTCGACGGCTTCTAACGCACCAGCGCCATCTGTAGTATCTCCATTCAATAGGCGAGATACTCTTTCCACTCTTTGCACATAAATATTCGCAAGTGTGCGAAATAACTCCGGGGCCAAAAGCTGGAAACCCTTTCTGATCCGTAACACTTTGCCCGTCGACAGTTCTTTAACAACTTGTAGGAGTATAAGAAGTGACCGTGACAGTTGTATTGAATTGGCGCCTGGCTCGACAGATGAATGAAGTAGCTGGGTAATTTTGGTGATAGCATCGGGCCTACGACGAAAATCCGTCAGCAACTCCGCAGCTTCCAAAACTACTCATGGGTAACTAGCCATTCCGTAGGGAACTCATAGCGCAGGATCTTTGCAATCATGAGAGCATTGTGGAGAGCAAGAAGCGGTGCTGGCTCTACCAGCCCGGCATCAAGAGCTCTACTTTTAATCCGCTGTTTAACGTCGGGCTTAAGCGCGCTGTGAGATAAAGCAATTAACATCCACATCCGACCGTTCTAGCCAGTGTATATCCCATACTTAGGTGACGTTTTCCGCCAGTATTTATCGACGCCATTCTTGAGTTGAATGACTGAGAGGTAACGAGCTTGTTCGGGGACGGAGTAATCAGTAAAAACGTCCTGTCAAATCACGAATTAGCTTCAAGTTGAGATGCCGGGTCAAGGCTTGAGGACATACCTGCAAGAAAATGTAATAGTCATCCTCCTTCTCCCAGTTCTGAAGCTGCTGTGTACCAGCTTGCACCTGGACCTGGGTGTTGGACGATGCAGCCAAGAGAGCGTTTAAAATGGTCTGGCGTGACAAAGGATTTGCTTCCCCGGGAACTTCAAGTATAGGAGGCATGGCAGGTCACCGAGGAGCTAGAGAGCTACAAGATGGAAAGGTAGAGAGGAAGAAATCAGGGTACATCTTCTGCGCGTATGATAATTATTTGGAAGGAAGCCAACCCCACCAGCAACAAAACAGTTCGTCTGCCAGAGGCCAATGACGCTAAGCGTGAAGTAAGTAAACTACCGCGCACGGGCCAGCTGCAGAGAGTACAGTAGACGCGGTAACTGCCAGAAACTTGAAACTTCAGCTTGTAGGCCCAATGCTTGATCGAGATCGAGAATTTAAGAGCAGAAATGGAGTGTGCATCCCAAACAAGACCTTCAGCTGCTAAGGTACTCTATGATATAACGACTATCTCACATGACCGAATGTCGATGCAGGACAATCGAGACATTTAAATAGGTCGCACAGGACAGGCTGATATACTGCCAATGTCGAGATATCTCTATTACTTCCACAAAGATCACAGATGTACACTGCTGTGCACCAAATTTTTCATTCTCTAGATAATGTTCGCCTGCAGATACCTGCAGAAACAAACCACCCCTCGTATTCTCGGGATCAGAATCAGTCACAAGAATTCGACACCGTACTCCTACAACGGAAATGCGACGCCGAGGGCAGTAACAGGCATTGTGATATGTTAGTGGGAGACGGATGAGGGCATCGAATATGTGGTACTCGGCTTTTCGCGAATGTACGTATATATCTTTCGGCCTCCTATGCGTGAAATCGCAGAAGCCAAGTGAATCTGCCAATCTCAAAGGACTCACCACATAGCGACGATAGCAATCTCAGTCCTGTTGAATAGGATAGATTCTTCCAACACACCCTATTCACAGTCAGATGGATGCCGCGATCCTCAGCCCCATCGTCTTTCTGAGATGTTTGGTATTCATCTCTGGAGATGGTATATGCTTGATATTGGGCAGAGGAGCGAAAAAGCCTGCTACCCGCGGTGCTCATAAGGAAACCTGTCCAGCCATTGACTCTTTTGCATGAGAAACTGTGTTAGAGCATTGTATGCTTGGGAAGAAGTGGAGGTAGCTTGGAATTTGAACTTAAATCTAAGCTAAAGAGAGGCAAATCTGTTGGTTTAACTATATGAAATATATCAGCTGAGTCCATTCCACGAAGCACCTGGCGCAGAAAACGTCGCACATTGTTCAGTGGTTAACGGAAGCTGAGCTCCCATCACGTGACTTTGGTGCAGGGTCTGAGCCTGGACCTCGGCTTCGCTCGTTCAACCCTTAGTTAACGCGGCTGCTGGAGCTGCTTCATGTATGAACATTTTGCGAAAAGGACCTGGATACAAATATATATCTGGAGTGTGAACCAGAAAAGCCTCAGATTACAACTTAAGCTGGGAGCACAAGATGATGCCACGATGACTTCTGCGAATTTTGCTGCAGCTCAAGCTCGCGTCCTGGAACGCCGACAACAGCGCGACGCTGAAGCCCGGAATAATAGCGTCGATCCACGCACCCGACTTCCTCCAGCCATTAGGAATCTTCCATATCCGTTGCATAGAGCGACTAATAGTGGATTCGCGTTATGGGATACCATCAAGGGCAGGGAAGGAACGCGGCCAGCATTCAGAGTGGGCCAGGTTGACGCAGAGTTGTTGGATGAGGAGCTACTGGGGCTGCTGAAGGGCCAAGTTGGAGAAGGGCTGAAATACTTTGGGGTTAGGAAAATCTGCTTTCATGGTGATATTGGAGAATTGCTCTTTTGATGGTTCTGAAAGCTGACGGGATTCTATGTTTAAGCGTCACATGCGGGAAGATTGGTCCCACGAAATCGAGCTCGCCCTCCGCGCAATCTTATTCAAGTTATCGATATGGGATCATAACGCTTCGTATGGTGCCGCGCTCCAGAACCTGAAATACACCGATAGCCGAAGTAAAGGACCAGTGTATAAACCGCCAACAAAGTGGCAGAAAGTACTCTACGGACTGTTAACTGTAGGAGGTCGTTATGCTTGGGACAAATGGGATGCTTGGATGATAGATCAAGAAGGAGGTTACGATGAGGTATGAATGGCTTGTGTACGGGGGCGAAGCTTGGTATTCTAACAGTGTTCAGCCATCTCCCACCGTCAAATCACTCGCGAAACTTTCAAACGCCGCTTCGACCGTTCATTCAATGGCAGCATTGGTATCCTTTCTTGTTTTTCTTATCAATGGACGATACCGAACATTGGTTGACCGTCTTTTGAGAATGCGGTTAACTCCACCATCGATGCAAGTTAGCCGCGAGGTATCATTTGAATACCTTAATCGTCAACTTGTTTGGCATGCCTTCACTGAGTTCCTTCTATTTCTATTACCTCTTGTTGGTATTGGCCGCTGGCGGCGTTGGCTTTCGAGGGCATGGAAAAAGACAGTCTCTTCCCTTCGTGTAAAGGACGAAGGGGACGAGGATGCCAAAAACCAGGGACCACTAGGCTTTTTACCGGAAAGAACATGCGCGATCTGTTATCAAGAGCAGAATCCTACGGCATCGTCGGAATCTGACGTAATGGCTGTGGGCGGCGCATCTGGTGGTATAATCGGGTCGGCCCAAACAGATATCACAAACCCTTACGAAGCAATACCATGTGGGTGCATATATTGTTTTGCTTGTATTGCGCAAAAGCTCGAAGCCGAAGAAGGGGAAGGTTGGATGTGTCTCCGCTGTGGAGAGATTGTCAAGCAATGCAAGCCTTGGAATGGTGATGTCCTTGAAGAAACCCGACCACATTCAAGTAGCGGGAAGAATGTCGGGTTTGTGACGGCCCAAAAAACAGACCCCAATGCTCAGCACACAGATGAGTCTACGGCCGAAAGTAGTAATATGTGGGCGACGATCGAAAGAGACGAAACGGACGACACGAGTGTCGGTGGTGAAACAGATCATGAAAGCAAATTCTCATAAAGTAGCCTGTCTCATGTTTTTGGGGGTCTTTTCGACTGTGTGAGAGGACATCGAGCGAGTCTATCTTGAGGAACACGGCGGTTTCTTGGACCCGAAGCTCTTGCCCAACTTAATGATTCAAAGGCGAATTTTGGCTTTCCTACCTTAGACTTCCACAGGCATTTGCAACACAATGCTCCGTTGCCAGTTCCGGTGTATTTAATGCATCGCCCTGCCCCTATTACTCTCGGACAGCAATAATCGTCACAAGGATAAGGAGGCTATTCTCCGTGTTCGAATTTACAATCTGCCTTTTTATAATAGACATGCACTTTGATGGCCGATCAATTAGGCTAATCGGTGCCCCAAGTTCACCATAGTCAATTGTTTAATTTATTCACGGTGGTCCATAACATCTTAACAATAAGATAAGGTTCATTATGTGTTATCCCTTACACCCCCTTGCTCCAATGCATTGAAAAGCAGGAAGCATGACTGCCGATAAAGAATTTATGAAATGGTGGCCATAGCAGCACAAATTGTTCCCACAAGAGGGAACAATCCTCTCACAACATTCAAGCGGGACCAAGTCTTCAACCAGCTCTGGACCTCAGCCTCATCTCTAGAAGCCCTCAGTTCACCCTGAACATCCTTCTCCTTCTGCGCAACCAGGCCCTCGGTTTCTGCAGATTTTGCCTTGGCGATTAACTTGTTGTTGGTGGGTTTCATGATTAGGAGAGTGAATGGGACGGGAGCAATGGTAAACAGAGCGGCGAGCAAGTAGTAGTTTGCAGCGACGACGTTTCCCTGACGAGTGAGTGTGCCTTGCCGGAAGTGGTACGACAAGTAGGAGTATACTGAGGCGGTGATCAAGGAGGCGAGCGGGACAATCGATTTACCGATGCCATATGCATGGTACCATTGCGAGGCGATGTGGGAGACTGGTGTGCCTGGCTGGAAGGAAGAGTCGAAAGTACGTTTGCTGGTAGCCCCCGGCAGAGTGAGGGTTGGAACGAGTGCAACGGAAAAATTGAGGATGCCCCCTGGGGTTTTGTCAGTTGAACTGAGCTTCTTGCCCTTTGACAACGGCCTGTGGAGGTATATATTGAAGTTGCCTACCGGCCAGGACTCCAGAAGCCGTGATTCCCAGGACCTGGGAGGTTCCGATTAGGGTGGAATGGTCTGCCATGCTGGTTGTATGCTTTTGAGTAGAATAATTAGGAATTAACTGGCTGTCTTCGAATCACTTCAGCTGTTTCTCGCGAATTCTCGAGGATCCCCCGAAGGCAAAGATAACCTTTCGCCTTTTTTAAACACCAGGCAGCCAACTGGAGTTAATTCTTCTGCCTTGCTCGAGCAACAATAGTTGATCCTTGCGTCATTCGTCGACGTCATTGAATCTCGGCGAGTCGGTAATTCCGCCCCTGGAATGCGAAGGTTGCTGCTAACTGGCAATGTTCAAAATCTCGCACAAGAAACAGTGCCAGGTAGGAAGGTGTTTTCCCATCGCCGACAAGTCAATGTACAAAAAAGCCAGATTCCGGCCGGGGTCAGGAGAGCTTTCTGACGTCCAGACCCTCGACCAGTGTTGTGGATATTCTTGCTGCAGGGTCGGTGTTACGTGCAGACCTTGTCCTATACGCGAAACCCTTGACTCCCTGGTCGGGAATTCAACTATTAATTCATCTTAGTCTGCCGCTTCAATCCTCTCATCTAGCTCCTCAAACATGCAAAGAAAACGCCGTTTCGTTCGAGAGCTTGGCCCCATCGGCAAGCCGGGGAAAATGACTTGCCGTGACACCCAATGACGACGTCCTTATTCGTGGTGACTAAGGCCGCTTCTGAGCCGAAGCGAGCGCGGGGCCGAACTTAATCCCGTGAGGGGCATTCACTAGCAGTCCATGATATGTAAACAGAGGTTCCGGTCAGCGATTTGTTGCAATCAAATCGGAGTAGAGAGAAAGTCGCTGAGTCGAATATTACTTGGCGCTGCTGGAAGCTTCGGGGTATCTTCTGACTGGATTCTGTGATAAGCCTATTAGACCAAACACACTCGACTGGCGAGGTACTCAGAGCTACCAATATCTATATTACCCAAGATTTTTCTACCAGATCAATTGACGGCTCACCGAAGGTGTACAGGCTGATTGAAACATGGCTTCTCAAGCTCCTATTGCGCAAGATGGACCAAACGAGGAGGCGAAATATATCGACTTCCCCTGTCTTCCTGATGATGCGATGCGGGACGGAAAACCGGCCTTGAACAAATATTCTCAGTTCATTACAAAAGGTCATGATTACCCAGGTGCCCAGGTGAGAAGATATTTTATAAAGCTTATGTTTAGAAATCACATTATGTTGGTGTTTTGCTAACGCGCGATGAGCACCATAGGCAATGTTATATGCTGCTGGGGTACCTGATAGGGATGCCATGAAAACGAGTCCTCATGTTGGCATTGCATCAGTATGGTGGGAAGGAAATCCCTGCAACATGCACTTGTTGGATTTAGGAAAGACTGTGAAAAAGGCTGTTATAGATCAGGGCATGCTGGGATGGCAATACAATACCATTGGTGTCTCTGACGCAATCACAATGGGTCATGAAGGTCTGTGATTCAATTCATACTTCAGCACTGCCAAAGAAAATGTCATTGACCATGACATACCATTTTCATTTCAGGCATGCGCTTTTCTCTGCAGTCTCGTGAGGTCATTGCCGACAGCATCGAAACTGTGACTTGCGCACAATACCATGACGGTTGCATTGCCATACCTGGTTGTGACAAGAACATGCCTGGGTGTATTATGGCCATGGGAAGACACAACCGCCCCTCCCTGATGATATACGGTGGCACAATTCAAGGCGGATATTCGAAACTATTGCGACGACCCATTAACGTTTCGACCTGCTATGAGGCCGCGGGTGCTTATGCGTATAATACTTTGGTCCAGCCGGACGATGGCGGGGACAGGAGCAAAACTAAGGATGAGATCATGGAAGACATTGAAAGACATGCTTGTCCGAGCGCTGGGGCTTGCGCAGGCATGTATACTGCGAACACAATGGCCACAGCAATTGAGTCGATGGGTCTGACTCTGCCTGGTTCATCTTCTACCCCCGCAACATCACCAGCGAAGATGCGAGAATGTGTAAAAGCGGCTGATGCAATTAAATTGTGCATGGAGAGGAACATCAGACCGCGCGACTTATTGACAAAACGGTCCTTTGAGAATGCCCTGGTCATGACAATGGCTCTCGGTGGAAGCACTAACGGCGTTGTTCATTTCATTGCCATGGCTAGATCGGCTGGTGTTCACTTAATGCTAGATGACATCCAGCGTGTTAGTGACAAAATTCCTTTTATCGCGAACCTCGCCCCAAGCGGAAAATATTACATGGCAGATCTATACGAAATTGGAGGCATTCCATCCGTCCAGAAATTGCTTGTCGCCGCAGGCCTTTTAGATGGCGGTATTCCCACGGTGACTGGAAAGACATTGGCGGAGAACATTGCATCTTTCCCCTCCCTCCCACAAGACCAAGCTATCATTCACCCACTTGACAACCCGATCAAGTCAACCGGCCATCTCCAGGTGCTCAGGGGAAACCTTGCCCCTGGCGGTGCTGTCGCTAAAATTACCGGAAAAGAAGGTACTAAATTTACGGGAAAGGCTCGCGTATTTAACAAAGAGCACGAGTTGGACGCCGCTCTAAGCCGTGGCGAGATCCCACGCGGAGATAACCTCGTCCTCGTCGTTCGATACGAGGGACCAAAGGGTGGTCCCGGAATGCCGGAACAACTCAAAGCTAGTGCTGCCTTGATGGGAGCTAAACTCACAAACGTAGCGCTGATTACAGATGGCAGATATTCAGGTGCCAGTCATGGATTTATTGTTGGACACATTGTCCCAGAAGCTGCAGTGGGCGGTCCGATTGCTGTTGTGCAGGATGGTGATACGATCACAATCAACGCGGATACCAACGAACTCACAATGGATGTTTCTGACGAAGAAATCGCACAGCGTTTGAAGGGGTGGAAACCGCCAAAACCACGTGTTACCCGGGGGGTGCTGGCGAAGTATGCTAAATTAGTCGGAGATGCATCAAATGGTGCTATGACTGACCAGTTTTAGAGCAACGACTCCAAGCATGTTAGCATATCAAGTATCCATGCGTTCTAGGGTGCGTGTGGTATGTAGTTAGTCCGTTAGCAATTCAGGGTCTCTATGTGCAACGAGTTTTTTTCAAGCTGCCCCAGGTAAACATCAGTAGATGATAACATCCTTGTGAGGATACTTCGTGCCACGACGGGTCCTACCTATGGCGAGTTGCTGATCGAGATTCCGGGATAAGGCCTCCCCGGCCCTTTGGGTTTTACAGATGGTGAAAACTTGTCGTTTCTAGCTCCATAAACCGTGCTGATAATAAAGCACTCTCACAGGCACACACTGGTCCCTGGCAGCGCGCCCACTCGGAGTGGCATAGGTAAGCTGCCGGGACTCGGGATCGCCAGGTTTGTCATGTGATTCGGGAAGAGGCTCCAGAAACCTAAAAAGGGTGCCGGGAGTGGCGCTAAGCCCTGCGAGATGACGCAGGAGTGCCAAAACACTTTTCAACATCAGTCACCACGCAGCGGAAACAGGCACATCGGTGGGTTTTCACCAAGTTTGCAAAGACCGTGCCGCACTCTTACAAAGAAGTCCCCTTTGTACTCCGTACAACTGTTTGAAATGCCTTGCTACCTTGATGGACTGCTTAATTGGTTCTACACCACAACGCTGAGGCTCCGCTTTCTAATTACTGCTGCTCAACCTCAGATGTAACAGATTTTTTTTCTAACCCTGCAATCCGCGCATTTAAATACTGAAACCCCATGAAAAAGTACTAGGACCTTTGATGAAGTTGAATACATTAATATCACCCCTATTTCCCCGAATCAAAAGCAATTTTGCCAAAAGTATTCTGTGAGACTTCTATCGCAAGCGCTGCGCTGAATGACTCATGGAAATGAACTCCATTTTCTCAATTTCCCCGTTTTTATCGTCCCCGATCTACCATGCTGTTTGCTCTACAAGAGAGAAAGCGTATCTCTCCTGGGATTCGATTGTCGATCTCATTGCTCAATGCACATTTTCAAAATTTTATAGCGTCATATCTGGCAAGGGGAGCTTGGATGATAGAGCCTCCCTCGCCCTCCTGTCTTGGGTATCGTCAATTGCCCTTATCGCGCTAGGTTCTGGCGTGATTTACAGACAGATTCACGGACGGTCCAGGAAGAAGTCATTTCGAAACGGCGACAATCGGCCACCGTATTCGACGAACAGGGCTCGTGAGAGTACGGAATCATCTAGCGAAGATGATACCTTCGAGGATGATGAGCGTGGCCTCAGTCCCTTTGATACTATAATATGCGATGGTAGGTAGGATCCAGTAATTTCTTGCATTGTTTGCTCGAACTAATTAGATATAATTAGATGACAAAGACCACGATCCCGGTTTGTTAAAGAAGCATTCATCCAATGTCTCTTACACAACTTCTATCGCGACGTATCCGTCCATCAGGACGTTTTTCTGCCCTCATCCTCACATTGAAAAGCTTCCCACGAAACCATACCCTTTACCACTCCTCGTGTTTGTACATGGGCTGGGAGGCTCTCTTGCCCAGTTCCACCCTATTCTGACAACACTTACGAATGTCGGTCCTTGTTTTGGTATTGATTTTCCTGGGTGTGGGCTGTCTACGTTCTCGCCAAAGTCTTGGTCGGCTTATTCTGTGGAGGCGCTTGCCACCCTTCTTGCAACCGCAATTGAGCGGCATCTGGATACCGCCAGAAATCAACAGGTCATATTCATCGGACACAGTTTAGGATGCTCCATTGCGACTCTGATTGCTTCCTCAATATCTCCAATCGCACCCCAACTGAAAGAACATATCATTGGATTCATCGCCCTGTGTCCACAGGCAACCCCACCTTCCAAAGCCACTACCTCACACTTTCGGAGATTATTGCATATCCCGGAATCCATATTCAATGCGTGGCGAAAATGGGATAGGCGAGGTGGCCTTAATAGTCCAAGTGTGCTGAGGTTTACGGGAAGTGAAGCAGATATCGGGACAAGAAAACTTCAGCTGCGATTTAATGAGCAAAGCCGAACCCCGACATGGAGGAGGATGGCATGGGGCACGCTTCCAGAACACGATGCCAGCGGGAAGACTGTTAGCGGAATACCTGGGGAAGAGATGTGGAAGGGCATCCAAGTTCCACTCCTGCTTGTCGCTGGGGAATCAGACCCGATCACGAAACCAATAGAAGTGTCGAGAATCCTTGAATACTTTAGCAAACTCCCAGACACCCACAAATCTGCCTGTGATGAAATAGAAACCGGCACAGGACTAATCCAGGGTCATCTCCCGAAGGGTTCGACAAATGGGACAGTGCGTCCCTCGTTATCCGCTACCTCCGAGATTGATATCGAGTTCCACGGCGAACGCCATTCAGAGAAGGCGGCTGTTAGGTCGTTTATATTCCCCGCTCCGGCATCCCATGCTCTTCTTTATGACCGTGCTACGTATCGTGCTCTATCTGGTTTGATACAAGGCTTCCTGGCGAACGACATCGACTCTCGTCTAGGCATCGGGTGGCAGTTACAGCATCTCACCACCTCTGGGAAATGGGACGTGAAAAATCTTGCCAAATGGAAAGCAGTGGAGCCAGTCTCAAAGCCGATTGGCGATACGTTCTTTGCGTTGAAGACATTACGTGAGCTCGACCAAGAACATTCGCCTATTCCCTTCGTACAAAAGTGGAAAGGGAGAATATTCGCGATCATTGACATTAGTCATGAAAGCCCCGTATATAACCCAAGTCAGCTCGATAATGGTGGCATCCAATACCACAAGCTTCCGACAGTGTCCAAGATTCCTCCGACAGTTGACGAAGTTCATGACTTTGTCGCCCTTGTTGATCGCCTTGAGGAAGAGATTTCCTCCCAAGTCAAGAACCAGAGCGACCCCGATGCACCTCGTCCTCTGATTGGTGTTCACTGTCATTACGGCTTTAATCGAACAGGATTTTTTCTTACATCATATCTCATCGAACGTAAAGGTTACACTGTTGAAGAAGCTCTCGAGGAGTTCAAACGGTGCAGACCACCCGGGATACGCCATCCACATTTTATCGATACCCTATTTGTACGATATTGCGCAGGTCTCCGTGGGGAGGAAGCGTTGAGCCTTTAGAATGCATTCGTTCTTGGGGTTGCTGAGAAGCAAAGGCGTTTGTCTGTTTCAGGGATCAAAGTTCTTGCTCGCGAACATTATACTTAAGAGTATATTTTTGATGTTTAACATATAATAGTGATGATAAACATGGTAATAATAGTAATAGGCGAACAAATATTTTCAACTAGTTAACTAATAGGAAAACTTGACTGCTTTTTTAGAACGCTGGCTTGCGATGCCATGCCAAAAATGGGACTAGTCTATATCAGGACTAGCGTCTAGGGTAGCACTAGGACAAAACAGGATAAGCGAGCTATCGAGGGAGAGGTTCCACACCACACTACGCTTAGCGCGCTACACAACCTCAGCAGGTCAAATGAATTGAAATTTCGAGGGGATTCGAGCCCGACAACGACGCGCGACGACAGACCACCCGACAAACGCACCCTTCTTAGCTCCCACAGAAGCCTCCGTGCTCTCCTCTTGATTTTCGATTCGAGGCTTTTGCTGATTACACCTTTGCAGCCATGGGAGGCGTCACCGTTCGCGATGTGGATGTAAGTGTTGAATGTTCATTATATGAGGAATGGCTGTGGCATGCGTGGTTCCGAGGCGGCGGACGTTCGTTTTTCGAGTGAGAAGAGACGAGGTTAGAGCGTTCTGGGAAGGGTTTTAAGAAAGGCTGGGGTTTGGGTCTGGGAAAATGTCCGATTAGGGATCAATGATAGAGCATATTTCGAATGTGCGATAGCCGGGCGAAGACGAAATATGAATCTGGCAAAAGCTTTGGGAAGACGAGCCAGCCGCCAGCGCCATATCCTCAGAAAACTCGTGGTTTTTTTATATCAGACTTGCGTTGGAACGATACTGATACTGTTGGTCCGTATAGGCGCAGAAGTTCATCAATGCGTACTCCGCTTTCTTGAAGAGACAAGGCAAATTGCCAATCCCAGGTGCGTCAACCTTCTATTTCCCACGCCTCCTTGATCTTTTCCCAATAGACTTACCTCACTCATCCCCCGTGAGAGAAAATCGCGTGATGCTGATATGGTTCAAATTTATAGGATGGGTTGACACCGTCAAGACCTCCACTGCCAGAGAACTCCCTCCTCAGTCCGATGATTGGTATGAGCCCGAGACTTCTAGCCGATCTAGATGACCGGTTTGCCGAATTAGTTTAAGACTGCACATGGTGCTTACTTCGATTTTTTAGGTTCTATGTCCGCGCTGCTTCAGTTGCCCGACACATCTACCTCCGCAAGACCGTCGGTGTTGGCCGTCTACGAAAGGTCCACGGAGGAACCAAAAACCGCGGTTCCTGCCCATCCCACCACGTCAACGCCAGCGGTGCCGTTGACCGCAAGATTGTCCAGGCTCTCGAGAAGATCGGTGTCGTTGAGGTAGATGAGGAGAAGGGTGGTCGCAGAATCACACAGACCGGCCAGAGAGATTTGGACCGCATCGCCAAAACGACCCTTGAGGAGGAGGAGGAAGATGATGAGTAAATGGTGACCCGGGGCTGAGAGAGGGTGCTTGATTGCGACAGAGCTTGTGTTGATAGGGACGGTCTTGGTCGAAATTTTAATGACTCCATCATGATCCAAAGCTTGTGGCGCAAATTGGGCACCATGATCCAGGGAGCGGGGAATACTCTTTAGACATACCGCCATCGCTCAGAGGCGTTGCCCCATTTGAATGGAGTACGGTGTGACATCTATTTTAATATTTTGATGAGCGTCCTACTCCAGTTCGGCTATTTCCATGATCCGGCGGCATGTCCTCCTGTTCAGTATGTGACAGTGGCTCTCCATGGACGACTGATACGTCTATTTCATTTTTCTTTATTCGCCAATGAATCTCCCTGTCTCTCCTCTGCTTGTAGCATCATGTTTTATGCTTTTCCTGCATGAACCTCATCAAGAAATCAAAAAAATTTTACTTGTTCAGCCATGTTTATTTGTACGTGTGGATAAAAAGGTGTCTGGATTATCAGGTTTCAAGGATAGCAATTCGGTTGTTCAAGCCAGCACCATGGAGTGCGGATGGAGCAAGACTTAACCAAGGCTCTCAACCCCGCAAAAAACCGAAGGCCAAGGAAATGTTCTGATATCAAATTCCGGGGTATAGAGCATAAAGCAAGAGGAGAATAGGAAAGGATATTCTAGTTTGAGTCAGCCGCTGTTACTTACATTCAATTGATGCATTATTCATCCTGCCTGGCCTCGCTGCAGCATTCATCGCCGAAGGTTCAGCCACCGGGGAATGCTTGGATCCCATGTCACCACGCACATAAACTTCACGCATCAGCAAGATTTCGTTCTCCACTTAATTGGATGCAACTGGAACAGAGAACCTAAGGAGGGGTAAACCGTACTTTCTATGGCTATATAAAAGGTGCCAGCACCCGAGGAGAGAGCTTCAAAACCATGATCATTCTTTCATCTAGGATAGCACCGATATCGTTTATCACACACCACATACAGAGATCTTTTACACACCGCCAATTCGTAACCATGGCTTCCAAACTCACGTTGCAGTCAACGTATAAAATGAACTCGGGATATGAGATTCCGGTGCTTGGATTTGGGGTAAGTAGCATCATCATCAATGGGTTAATATCTCCTTTCTCGAGTTCCCTGGCATTTTGGCTCTAGACAAGTTTTATTTCGGATATAAAGTTACCAGTTTTATCAATCTGGATCAGCATTCGCTCTTCTCGAATCATTCCAAATTCCAAGCTGAATTGCAGGATTGCCATAAAGTGTCATTGGAGAATCACCATGCTAACCGTTGTTTCATCGTAAGGTGTATCAAACGTTCGTCTCCCTTAACAGGAAAACAAGTTCCAAGCTAGACATTGACTGTTGACAAAACAGACCTCCAGAGGTCACTGAAAAAGTGACATTGAAGGCGTTGGAGACAGGATATAGACACGTATATTCCCCCCATCGTTATAAAAATCTTGCACATGCTTGGCCATAGCTTGATATAATCCTACCGGTAACATTAACTCGGAGAACAGATCGATTCTGCCAAGGCGTACTGTAACGAAGCAGAGTGTGGCGAAGCGATTAGAGCGTCTGGCTTGAAGCGGGAAGATGTTTTTTTTACTACCAAAGTCCCATGGAGATCTTTGGGATATGAGAAGACGAAGCAGTCCATTGAGGAGAGCTTGAAGGCTGCGAAAGTGGATTATTATGATCTGTAGGTCCAAATTGCAATATGTCTCTCTGTCAGGGTGGTAGTATCTGACCGGCCATTAGTATCCTCCTCCATGCCCCCTATGGAGGGCGAGACGCCCGTGAAGGTTCATGGCGTGCCCTTGTTGAGGCCCAAAAGGCGGGCAAAGTTCGCTCAATTGGTATCTCAAACTATGGTGTCCATCATCTTGATGAACTGGAAGAATACAACAAGTCTATTGGAGGAAAGATAGATGTCGGACAATATGAGATCCACCCTTGGCTTCCCAGGCAAGACATTGTCGAATGGCTTCGGAAGCGTAATATCGTTGTTGAAGCATACAGCCCTCTTGTACGTGCGCAGAAGATGGACGAACCAATTCTGCATGAATTGGCCAAGAAGCATAACAAGACCCCGGCTCAAATCCTGGTCCGATGGAGTCTGCAAAAGGTACCATTTCATCCTTCCTTGCTTTATCCACATTGACGGCTACTGAATTTCTCTATCGCATGGTAGGGCTTGATCCCACTCCCAAAATCTGTCACAGAATCTCGAATCGTAGAGAACGCCAACGTTTTCGACTTTGAGCTTTCCGAACAGGATATGAAAGCCATGGAGACCAACGAATATCAGAATGTCTGCTGGGACCCGACTACCCACAAAGACGGGGATCCAATTAATTTTTAGGATGTAATCATCCTTATCGATATGACACCTTTACATTTGTTTCTTAAATCACCTCTCCCTAAGAGATATCAAAGGCAGTGGCCATCCCATGTTCCAGATATTCCTTTCTTCGCTCCCTTCCTGGCCTGGTTTCTAGAAAAAATCTCACAGAGAGTCCCAGGGAATACAGTAAATCATGACAGTATCAAAACATGTTCACGTGCAGGCCAGTCAGTACTTCATATAGTATATCAAACCACGCTAGCGAAGCATGAACAACAACGCGGTATTTCCCAACAGGCCAAAGCAAATCTCACTTGCATCTGTTTATGACTTTCTCTTCCACAAAGTGAGCATCACGAAGAAACATCCTACTCTTCTCCCTCTCCTGGGAGAAGGTGTTTGCCTGAGTAATCACAGTGGTTTGTGATATACCTTTCATATCTCAGCTCTGATTTTGCAAAGCTTCGTTTGGAAGTCTGGCTTCCAAACAAATTCATCTTATGTTTGAAATTTGAGGGTGAAGAATCAAAAGTTGTTCCTCAACAGTCTATTCTTGTGATAGAAGAGGCATTTCAGTTCAAAGCTTTGATTGAACTAGCTTTGTTCTGAATTCAACCAAACTTCACTATCCAGCAGTCATGGCGCCAGCACAGGGTGAAGGAAGGCACCTGAACTAGTATGTGTATCATCCTGTCCAGGTGACTAAAACATAGATCTGATGCAAAACAGCCAGTCGAACCATGGCAATAATAGAGACTGGCCTGATAATCCTATGGAATTCATGATTAACGGCGCTATTCGTGGAATCACTGGAGAAAATGACCAAGACTTTGTGTCCCAAATTGGTGTCACTGAGAACATCCAGCCTTTGGGCGGTGATTCCAATAATGAAGACGATTGCAGCTTTGTTTTTCAGAATGGCGTCCCTGAGGATAACCAGTCCATGGAAATCAACTCCCAGTGCGGAGAGTATCCTGACTTTATCTCCCAGGTTGATCCCAGCGAATATTACCAAACCTTGGGAAGCACCTCCGATAGCGACGACTCTGCTTCTGAGTCAAGTATAAATGGGCAGCCTAATCATTCACTTCTAAATTGCGAGAATCTAGAATGCACGGATGACTCTAACTTCGGTGACATCGAGTCCAATGGAGATACTGCATACGATACAGAGTCTCTTTGGAACGAATCGGACGGCGAAGCCTTGACAGCGTCCATGGATGGGCATGGCAATGATTTCACTCCCAGAGACAGAAGCCATAATCGCTTAGGTGGATATCAAGGCCTTTTGCTTAGTCAAATCGATTTGGGATTTCTCGGCGAGGACGATTCTGATTCCCTGACGACTGACCCTCTGGCAAGCTCCGATGAAGATGACTATGGAGAAATTTCCTATGACTTCGAAGAGATCACTCCTATAATTCGCAACAATAGCTTCGTGAGGAGAATGGAGAACAGAAGACTTCCATCTAGCTTCGATCCGGATATTGTTTTTGACGACGATTCAGACTCAAATGAACCGCATGATGGACCTTTCTTAGTTCAAGGTCAAATCTGGGAAGATCCGTCATCTGATGAACTCAACAGCTTTATTGTCGCGCAAGGAAGAGCACATGTTCACGAACAACAGCCTGCTTCTCCACTACTGATAGAGGAGGGCTCTGATGAGAACAAAGAAAACATCCCTCCACAGCGCCAGGTTCAGTCAAGAATTGGTGATAACAGGCATGGCAATGAACCAAACACAGTGCGTGGGACTCGAGGACGGTTTGACCCCGTACAGAGTGTGCAACACCACTCGTTTGGACCATTGAGGCCTGTTGCTCCCTGGCCTCTTGAGTAATGGGTTTCTCTGGGAATGAACGAAGGATGGACAGTGCTATCAAGAGCACATGAATCCTGGAGATGTTGTTGCGCACCCCTCCGGCAATCACTTTTTTATTTCCTGGCTGCTTGCTATTGATAAGTTTATGCTACCCTTTCCATTGGTCCTGGGTGATATGAAGTGATGTTGCACGGTTGAGGAATATCACTTGTTCCGGAATACACAAAAAATCATGTGAGCTGGCGTGCATCATTGTACATACACGCAGGTAGCTGGCTTAGTTACTCCTTACTAACAAGCTATTCGGCGAAACCCAATTCCGTGACACGCTTGGGACGTCGTGGTCTGGAGGGGAAAGCCTAAAAATAGGCAGTTGAACGTGGCTTGTCACCGCAACTTTGAGAAGCACAGTGGAGGAGATACACCCATATGATCTACTGTTCCAAGCCATCGGTGCGGAAGCGTCATAGTTTTTTTTTTTTTTAATCTCAAGGCCACTTGGCAGGCTGTTTCATAATTATCAGACCAAGCCCCAAACTCCCTGACACTCAGGCCTGTATAACTCCCAAATCGCATCAAGGTGGGGTTTGGGATTGGGGTTATCAATGAGGCTGATCAAACAGAATATCGAGCAGGATGGCTCAGGCTCAGTTACGCTCTTCCCTGAGGAGCCAGAGGATATGGTATATGCGTGGTATTAGTCTCTTAGTTTATGCTGTGCCCTCCTGGTTAACGTATCCGTCCACAGTGGCATGCGTACAATCTAATCCGGCCCCATGACCTGCTGAAAGCCAGCGCTATCCGTCGCGTTACGACTACCGCCACAACCGGGACAACTTCGTCGTCACGGGTCCATATGACGTTGCAAATTCGGGTTAAGAGCCTGGATTTTGACCCCCAAAGTTCCCAGCTTCATGTATCAGGACAGATCGCCTCAGAGAACCCATATACAAAGATTGGTCAACATCATACGCTGGATCTAGAGCTCCAACGGAATTTTACCCTTGAAAAACGCACAGAGTCAGGTGAAGTGGGGGGATGGGACAGTGTCGCTATCGAGATGCTAAAGGATGCCGTGGATGAGGGCTACAAAAGAAGGGCGGAGGCTGTAGCAGTAGTAATGCAGGAAGGCTTGGCAAATATCTGCTTTATCGGCCAGTTTCAGACCGTCCTCAAGCAGAAGGTTGAGATGACAATACCTAGAAAAAGACAAGGAGGGAGTGACCACGACAAGGCAAGCCCAAAAAAAAAATGCCGCCGTCTTTGTCCACATCTCGAAATTTACTGACGTATTCGGCCCCAGGCCCTGGCTAAATTTTTCCAAGTAACCCTCGAAACCATTCTTCGCCTCCTGGACACCTCTGGAGGCTCGATAACGTCGTCAACGACAAGTAATGGCACGTCAACGAGGCCTATACTGTTAGCTTCCCCTGGTTTTACTGCCGTCAGCTTCCAAAAGCACATTCAATCCGCGTCATTAGGCAAGCCGGAATTGAAGCCTCTTCTAGAAAGCATGATTGTAGTGCATTCGTCGTCTGGCCACGTGCATTCGCTGGCCGAAGTCCTCAAGTCTCCGTCGGTGCAGGCGCGTCTCTCTAATACGAAGTATGCCCGTGAGACAGCAATTATGGACACATTTTTCAATCATTTGAGGATGGACACAAACAAAGCCACGTACGGGGCTAAAGAAGTAGAATCAGCAGTTGACCAAGGTGCGGTTGGCCGAGGCGGTGGTATTCTATTAATTTCAAACAGGCTCTTTCGGGCGCAAGACGTGCACGAAAGAAAGAGATGGGTTTCTCTAGTTGATCGCGTGAGAGACGTTGAAGGGGGGGAGGTTCGAGTACTAAGTTCTGACCACGAAAGTGGGAAAAGATTAGACGGTTTGGGCGGCGTTGCCGCACTTTTGACGTTTCCCGTCCTCGACGATGAGAATGAAGAAGACGATGGCGATGACAATGCCGATGGATAGGAGGGGGGGGATTTAAGTGCAATGTTCAAATATTCGATGAGACTTCCAAGAGGCGATGACCGTGATGAACAAGCCATGGAGGCCGTTCACCGGCTTATCGTCTACTCGCGTTTCATATTCTGCGGTAGCTACTATTTTGAACCTCTGGGATCATACGATGAGCCACCGCTCGGACCGCGAAGAAGCTGGTCTTCAATGCAGTGAAAAGAACATAACTACATTATGCATTTATTGGATAAAAAGGGCATTATTCAGGACACATATTTATGGAGTGAAGATCCTGTGCCTAAATGCTACTCAGTAAATGCGGGATTCAGAAAAGTCGGGAATTATTAGTATCCATGAAAAAGCTTCCAACAGCCAGATTAACCTTAAATCACACGCTGTATGATAATCCCGCGGGGCTCCATAAACCCACATATTATGATAACTCATAGTTAACCACACCCACCCGAAATCCCCCACGTAAAATGTAACTTCGCTTCAAATGCCAAGAAATAGTTACATGTCCCATTCGAGTAAAGTCCCCGGCTCCGCCTCCTCCGCCTCGCCCCCGCGTAGATCTTGAAATCAGAGAGCCTGTGTGCTCGAGGCGCGTGCGCATGGAAGCATTTCCCCGAAAGACTGGTTCTGGATATAAATATACCAGAAACGCCTGTTTCAGCAGCTGCCCTGTATCTCCGCAAAATATTAATCCCCCCTCTCCGAAGGCTGTGTGCGCGTGTATGTAGTGTCAAGGTTAGAGCGCGCATTGCCATATCGTTTCAGGAAGCTTGCCCTTGCAGCTTGCATGACCAAACTAAGCGAGCTAAGCTTTTTACTGCACCGCCGGGTCGCCAAGGATTTGTTTCGGGCCATTTTAAGACTGCGACGTTTCCCAGGGTTTGAATTGCGATGGGTTCAATCGTCCAATGTCATGTACGGGGTTCTCCGTAGCAACGTGTCTATTGGCTAGTTGACGGTAATGAGGTTATGATCCCGTAGGTACTGCACATATTGGTGGACATGAATGGGCTCTGGTTCCTTTTTTTATCATGCTTGAGACGCAGAATTATCGTGACTTGGTTTACCCGCCAGGGGATACTCCGTAGTTTGATCCCCTATCTTGCTGTATCCGAGTGAGAATCAGTTGTGAGCAAGGTTGTCTTTCCTCCATGTGTACGGAGTACGCACATGGGATAAAAGCTCCCAGTGACCGGGCCAGGGGGCCAAGGGAGAAAATACGGAATCGCTAGTAAGGTTAACCTTGGCTGGTTAGGTTTAGGAGAAGCTCCCTTGTCAATGATCCACCCCTGGACTGCGGACTAGTTCGAAACTATGAAATACATGTTGGAACGCGCAGGTGTAACTACCAGGCTCTTCCTAGCACAATGAGCTTAATATGAAGGTTGGAAAATTGTCGGGTTCATTTCATTATATTGTGAACTAGGCTGATTTCTCCCAGCTGGGTTGCATGACATTTGGCTAATTCCTATTGTTTACAATGCGATCTTGGCATTGGAGATGGATAACCTTTACATGCAGATCGACCCCCGACCGTTGTTGATTGACGTAGGGCAGAACTCGAAACATAAAATTTAAGAGTCTCCGATAACTTTGACTCCGCGTGTCCACTCTTAAATCTATTTTTAAAATTTGCGGCGGAATAAAAGGAACCGCTACGCCTCTTTTTTCAGTCTGTCAGTCAGAAATAGTAGGATCTTGTGCGTTTCGTGGCTGCGCACTGCATGCAACTAAGCTGCTAGTTATGCCAGCTCGACGCAGGAACGGATGGAGATCGTCGGTCATGTGAGTTCGACGCAGATGCGCGATGGAATGAATCATGTTTGGAAAACCACCCTACGCTCTACGACCTAAGTGAGGTACGTGGGTAGGTATGTAATTATCCTTTCGAGAGGAGTAGGAGTTGCCCAGGGTGATCGTGACAAAAAGTAGTGTGGTTAATTCAGATTGCAGAAAAGTTACCGTTCCTAAATGCTATATAGTAAATAACCAATGTAATTTAGCGAATGCTGGCTGATATTCGAAACTCGCCCTGCAAAAAGAAACCCTTGAGCAAAAAGGATACAAGTAAAAACGGCCGTGTAACGATGAAGTGGCGCGGCCACTATAGCCCTATGGGGCTCGGAATATGCAATCAACCAAAAGACAAAAAAGAAAGGAAAAAAGGGAAAAAAGTTTAAAAAAAAAAAAAAAAGATTGCTAGCCAAGTCGGGGAAGGAAACCCCAATATGCAAGATTCTCACTCCTCTATACAATACCGTTTTCTCACAACACCGTGCAAAAGAAAAGAAAAGAAAAAAGAAAAAAAAGGGAAGAAGAGACCCGAATAGCCAAGAATGAAAACACACAAAGGGGTATCAAAGATGCTGAAAACCAGGGCGCAAAATCACTGAGGCAGTAAGCAAGAGTCAGAAGGTAAAATATGAAGCAAAAAGGCTATCGTCGCCTTTTGTTGGGGTAATCAGGAGGCTCGTCTTCATCTTCGGGACTTTGACTTCTCCTGGGACTCTCGCACGGCTCAAGCTGTAATTCTTGCCATTTTTGCTGACACTGTGATGCCGTCCAACCTCTGGTGGTCCTGTATTCTTGCATCTAAAAAGTATAAGTTATAAACTTAGATCTTAATTCCCACAAGCCGTACATGGGGGCCCGTCTAACCTTGTATGCGATGATTTCAAATTTATCTCTCTCCCAATATGAATGAGCATTCCGAAGCGCTTGAATCTAAATATTGATGTCAGATAAACCGGTAAAATCCTCTTTGACACAGTGGAAGGGGGAAGGGATGGATGTCACGTACTCACATCGTCCTCAGACCACTCTCTCATGCGTTGTTTGAGGCGTGTTATCCGCATCTGAAGACGTGACGCGTTGTGGTTTCCACCAAAAGCAGCATTCACCCGCTTGACAACCTCGTTCCAGGGTACGTTTTGCTCCCGGAGCTGGAGAGTGAGGTTGGTTTCCTCGTCGAGGATGGATGATCGTCTTCTGGGTCGCCGTGCCCGTCGTGGTTGGCGCTGCGACTCGAGTTCTTGGCCCAGTCTTCGTTCCTGCTCCATCTGTCTTATCCCGGCTGGGTTGGGTGCGATTGCGACAGGGGTCGATCTAGAAGAGACTGGTCTTCCTCCCGATCTCGAGGCGTGGTCGCTAGCTGCTCTCTCGGCGTGTCGTCGCAGTTGTGCGTGCGGATCATACTGTCCAGAAAGCGTGTTTGGAGTTTGATCGTACAGTGTCATTCCGGGTTGCATATAGCCTAAACTACTGATTCCCAGTCCGTGGGAGACACCAGTGGAGTTCATGCTGTGATATTGAAGCTCGTGCGACTGCGCATGCTGTGGAGGACTTTGCCTTGGATCAAGGTAGACGCTGTTGGAGGTGCTGATAGGTGTTAATAAAGCAGGATTCGGATGGGCGCTGGTGTAGCTATGAGCAACGCTCTCATATGTCTAGTGGGAGGTCGGTTAGCTGGAAAGCGTTCGGATGCCGACTCGGTCTGCAACAATAGTACGTACGACACTTGGGGAGACCCATTGCTGGTCCATGATGTTGTTCATTTGGCCGTGATAGGGAGACTCAGACCAGTTTGCTGACAGGTCTTCAGGCGCCATGGAAATACACAAGCTGATTTCTAAGGCACGAAGCGTCCTCGACAGAGGCTTGTGGACTCAGATGGTAGACTCAGTGTGCGAAGCTCGATATCAGGACAAGGAAGCAATATTATAAAGGAGATAGAGAGAGGACTGGAGTGGGAGATATAGCACTAGGGCAAGAGGCAATAATAGAAAGAAGATAAAAGTCTCAGTCTTTGTTTGAGCTGAATAGTTCTTCAAGTTTTCTGAAGAAAAAAGGAGCGGATCCAAGGAGATTTATAAATGTGGTGACGGAACAGGTGGGCGGAACAATAGCCGTCACGACCAGATTTAAGTATAGCAGGAATGAGCTTCGATCAATGAACGGGCCCTAAATGCTGCGGACGGGGAATAAACCGGAGATACCCTGCATTGGACCTGCTTCAAAGGCTTCGGAAGAATTGGTCAGGAAGGTCTAGTATGCGGAGGCCAGCACCACCGCCGCCGCCGCCGCCCGTCCATATTTGCGGTGCTGAAGAAGGCTTGTACGTTAATTCTTTTGTTTCTAACAATCGACCCCCGCCCGCTCATCCCTTGTCTCTCCGTTCCAAGCACAGCAACCCACCGGACCGGGGGGGCCCACATTGAGAGAAGCTTGGACTGTGCCACTATGATAGCACGATGCGAACAGCGACGTTTCTCTTTTTCTGTCGATCCGGAAGAAGAAGAGCCACGGGAGGGTGGAAAAAAGGAAAAAAAGCCAGCCAAAGGCTTTTTGGGATTTGGACTAGCGTACTTTTAGCACAGCAGTTCATTAAGCGCCCTGGCTACAAAACATGATTATCCAGGGTGCATCGGTCCACAGAGGGACGTTAAAATCAAACGGCCCCCAAAAAAACGAGAGAAGGGGAAAAGCAATACATAATTATTAGCTTGCAGCGTCTTCTTGGCCTCCATCCCCCAGCAACCCGGGCCAGGGATCCAGAGGCTATGGCATCCTTAGAGGAGATGAGAAAAATAAAAAAAATAAAAAATATTTGGGTGGATAATTCCAGCGCAGTCCGGGATTCGAGTAAAACTGTCCCCATGTTGAGGCTAAAAAAGAAATGGTTGCTTTGGCGCCTCTTTTTGTTCTTCGCCTGGGGCCTAGTTGACAGGGGGGCCGGAAGTATTGCCATCGTGAGTGGTCAACCAACGATCTGGGAGACCACCGGAACCAAAACTTGACCCCTTGGTCATTACATTGTGATTCCTTTTTCTTTTTTTTTTTTTTTTTTCGCTGCCTTCCCCCGGCTGCAAAGCAGATTGGTACATACAGACATGCATATTATAAATATTATGTATTGGTGAGGTAATGGAGTGGCTTGCTTGGTTGACGGGTATGATGCCCGGAACGTCCTCCAGAGATTAGCAAGCTGTGCCTATTAG